AAATATTAGCAGAAGTGGCCTCCCAAAGACAAAGACCAGCTCCCTCAGCACTCATGGGCACATCTCAACAGGACCCACATAATTTTTTATGTCCAATCTGTTCAGTGCTGATCCTCTTCTATCAAGGGTAAGTCATCCTCACCCCTCTTCAAAATAATTCCATTTTAATCCTAATTATATAAGGCATTTCAGTAATTTCCACTACTTGTCCTAAAGTGAAAGATAAGGATCCATTTTCAGATACATCCTTGTCTCCTTGTATGGTATGGTATTCCACGACAATAATGCAAGTGACATTTTTTCTATTCCACAGGATAAACACAGAAAGTGTGGGCCAAATATTACCTGCAAATGTGGTTTTAAACACATTCTGGCAACCTCAGGCAGCAAGACAGAACATCTACTTTCAAGTATTACCATACAATGCTCATGTTTAAATTGCATTGGAACCTCCAAAAATTCCACTACAACACCATCGCAGCTGGAAAGGTACCAGCATTCCCCTTACACCTCCACCACAGGTGATCAGCTGTGGATATTCACATAGTGCCTACACATCTAGACCTCATCTAGATGCAACTTGGATTGCACACCATCAGCTGTGAACACAAATGAAAAAAGAAATAACAGCAACAGAGCCATTCAGCTTCACCCTTTTGCAGATTACAGTTTTCATCCTGAAGTTGAAAGCCTTCCGTGACTGAGGGTAGTCCAATACTCAGGTTTCCCAGAAAATGACCTTATTATCAAACACTATTAAAAGACAGGATGCTTACCCTCTGATATTCTGATATTAATTTTCAAATAGAAAATGAAACTCAAGCAAAATTATTTGGTTCTGGTCTCAATTCATAGCATCATTTAGGTTGGAAAAGATCTGTCATTAATTTAGTTGAACAATTAATGGGGTGACTAAGATTGCAAGGGGACTGGAATGCCCAACAGAGATGATGCTGAGAACTGTGTTTGTTGAGCTTATGAAGAGAATGCAAAGAAAGACCTGGCTGCCCTCTTCAACTGAATGGGAAGTTCTGGTGAAGCATAGCTCCTCTCAGAGATGGAAAGAATTAGGATAAGAGAAAATAGAATAAAGGTGGAATACAGAAAATTTCTCACAAGGAAAAGTGAAATTTTTTGGGTTTTTTGGTCATTGCTGTTTTTTTCTTATTTTGGTTGTTTTTCTTTCCCTCCCACAATCATGAGAGGGATCAAACACCAGAACAGGTTACAACGAAACAGTCTCCACCCTTGTAAGTAAACAAAACCTGGGTAAGCAGGGCCTGAGCATCATGCTGTAGTTTGGACCAGCTTTGAGCAGATATTTGGTCTAGATGAACTCTTCCCAATCTACATGATTCTATGACCACAGGGTCTCTTTCCATTTAAAAACTATTTAAGCACATGTAGAAGCAGCACCATTAAAGAGCAGAACTTGGCCTCTTTCTCACCAGAGTTCAGTGAAACTTCTTTTGCATTTCTTCAGCCCACAGATCTTGTCTTTCTCATTCAGCGATCAGCTCTGCCCATGAACAAGAAGTATCCCATAAATGACACCTTCAGTTGCATAGTTAAGGAACCCTCTGGGAAGCTAGAAGCTTGAGTTTTCATACTTTCATGTTGAGTCTATTTTTCTGAATCTCAGCCTCTGGGCTGGAAGGCTAAGTAACATGGCTATAGCCACCTTCTGTTCTCAAGGCTTACTTTAAAAACAGGGTTACTCCTTAAAAGGTAGCAACTATAAAACCTTAAATAAAGCATATTCTGACACATACTTTGTCCAGCTTTTCTAGTTAGATTCTGGCCCTAAACAGACAAGTGCTTTACAAGCAGGCATCCTGACTAATGTCAATTGCCTGGAGTCCTCCTCCAAACAATGAAAGAAGGTTTCCCAGAACTAATTTAAAGCCTCTATGAAGAATCATTTGGAAGGTCTGAATTGCTCTTCTGAAGCATCCCCTTGCCTTCACTCACATTTATAGACTAAAATGACAAGCTTAAGCAATGAAATTCACAGAGCTAAGTCTAGAACTGTGCCCTGCACCTTTTGGCTTTAATATATTTGTATATTTGTACAAGGGAAGACTGGCAAATGCTGGGTTAACTTTTCTTCACCACCAGTGAGACTAAAGAAGAGCAACAGCAATTAAAATGATAGAAAGATTTTGTACATGGAACAGTAAGCAGCAACTTACTTCAGCATGAAAAAAGAAAGGGACATGTGATAAGGTTATTTATGAAAACAGATCAGAATCAGAACACAAGAACAAACAAATTCACTATCAGATTTTCTCACTCCATGACAGAGTTATTTATTAACCTGGAGAGACACATGGGTTTACAAAACTAAACAGCAATTTTGTTATTGCAGGTTCTACTCTTGCAGCACAAGTTTAGTTAATCTGCATTACAGAAAAAAGACTGCATTCTTTTAGACACCCATACACAAACTTTTGCTCAAAACCCACTACTTCAACATCCTGCATCAAAAAACAATTGTGTAAAGAACACCAAAGCAAGCTATTTCCAGTACTCATAACAAATGTGAACTGAAGAGTAAACTTTAGGAATTCTATTTTGGGAAAGGGAAAATTTGGTGTATTATGCTTCTGCTAAGAAGAGAACTCCAAGTCTTACTCTGTTAGCATTTGTGTAAAACCTGTAAGATGGTAAGATACAAAGTAGATGTTCCAGAAAAAACTCCATGTCTCAGAGTTCTGAAAATTATTGAAGAAATAGAGAAAGGTAGTCTCAAGATACTTCATAATGCATTTTTGCTGTTCCAAATACATAATAAAGAACTAACCAGTCATTTTTTCTTTACAAACAAAACTAGATACACCTGCACTGATGTTGTTTTCCAAACTTTTTTGTGATGTTCTTTAGATTAGTCAACATGCAGAAAGTATCCAAGCTAAATTATGTAAAAAATGCTCACTACTGCTTTTGCCTACTACTGTACAGTTAATAAGTGTTCTTTCTCACAAATATTAAGTATGAAAAGTTTTAAATAACTTGTTTTTTTAAAAAGATTCTGGGCAAACACAGTTATAAACACACAGGCAAACCAAAATTTTTAAGTGAAGTATCTTTCACCAGACCACCTTTTTTTTGGAGAAGAAAAAAAAAAGTGAAAAAAAAAATTCCACTCTCAAACCAAAAAGTTACTCAAGTGCCAAATTCCCTTGAAGAAAGGTAATTAGGGATAAATAAAAAAACTTTTACTCAAGTTTCTCTGAGCACTTCATTTCCAGTTTTGAGCCAGAAAGAGACCCTTTGGCACTCTAAGCTTGTCTGTATCCCACGCCCCAATTACAGTACAAACTGTCTCTACAATCACTTAGCAAACATCTTCAGATTAGCCTGGTTACAACAGCACGTGACACGCTACAATTAAAACATTAAGTCATTACCTGCATCAAGATATTTACTCAAAGATTCATCAAGAGGAGGTACTGGCAGGGAAGGCAGAGAATCTTGGTACTGAAACGTGCGCTCCTCTGAGGATTCAAGCAGTTGCTTTTCCATGTTGCAGATCTGCAGCACAACCAAACAGACTGTTCACAAAGCCCACGGCCGATGACGAATCTCCCTCCCCACACTGTTCTCTCCCTCGCTCCGGCCTCCTGCCATTTACAAGGTAAAAGGTATCAGGAAGCGTTCCCCGACAAAGCACGGAGCGAGGGTTTCTGGCTGGCTTGCAGCCACGAGAGACACACACACAGCAGGGGGAAACGATGACCAGGCTGCTGGTGGTGCTTTTCCCCAGCATGTCGCGATTAACCAGCTCGAAGGCTGTCGCTTTCTCCCCCAAGGAGCAGCCAGCCAGCCCTGGAACACCCGCCCGAGACCAGAGGGTATCTGGGGAAGGGGGAATCACCCCCAGCCCGGCGGCCCCTCCGAGCCCCTCCGCAGACCCTTCCCAAGGTCCCCGCCCGAACCCCGGCCGTGCCCCGACCCCAGCGCTCGCCGAGCCGAGCCGGGCCGGGCCAGGCCAAGCCGAGCCGGGCCGAACCGAGCCGGGCCGAACCGAGCCGGGCCGGGCGCGAGGTCCGCGACAGCCCAGCAGAATTTACAGCGGCTCGGGGCCCGCATCGAGGAAAGCCCGGGAGAGCCCCCGGCGGATGGGCCTGGGTGCAAGGAGACAGCCGAGCCGAACCGAGCCCACCCCTCTGCCCCGCGCACTCCCGGGGAACGAGGCCGGCGGGCACCATCCCCCCCAGACCGCTGCCCACCTCCCGGCCGCCGCCTTCGCTCCCGTCCCACTTCCCAGCGGCTCCGGAAGCCGCGTGGGGCGGGGCGGAGGCGGGAGGGGAGCGGCCTCGCCATCCCCTGGCCCCGGAGCCCGGCCGTGACGTTAATAGGGCAGCATGAAGTGCGGGAGAGTGGCTGACTCCCTCCAGGGCAGACGCGCCCCGCGGAGACCTGGGCTAGTCGGAGGGCTGGGCAGTCGCCAACTGTGTGAAGTTTTACAAGGTCAAGTGCTGGTCTGCGCCTGGGAGAGGATAACTCTGGACGTACGTACAGACTGGGGAATGAGAGGCTAAAGACTCGTTTCCATCGACCTGGAATTCCTGGTTGATGGAAAATTGAATATAAATCTGCAGTGCCCTGGCAGGCAGGAGGGCCAGCCGCGTCCTGGGGGTCATCGCCATCCGGCAAGGGGGTGATTGTGCCCCTCTGCTGTGCACTGGGGTGGCCTCACCTCGAGTGTTGGGAGCAGTTCTGCATGCTACAAGATATGAAAGACATTAAACTATTAGAGAGCTTCCAAAGGAAAGCTATGAAAATAGTCAGAGGTCTAGAGGGGAAGCCACATGAGGAGTGGCTGAGGTCACTTGGTGTGTTCAGCCTGGAGGAGACTGAGGGGAGACCTCACTGCAGTTACAGCTTCATCATGAGGAGAAGCAGAGGGGCAGACACTGATCTCTTCTGTGGCAGGAAACAAGGGAATAACCTGAGGTTGTGTCAGGAGAGGTTTAGGCTGGATAGTAGAAAAAAGTTTTTCCCCCAGAGAGTCATTGGTCACTTGAGCAGGTTCCCCAGAAACCTGGTCACACACCAAGCCTGCTAGAATTCAAGAAGCATTTGGAAGATGCTCTCAGGCACATGGGATGTCTTGCATAGGATCAGGAGTTGAATTCAGTGATCCTTAGAACTCAGTATCTGTGACATGTGGAGAAAGCCCAGCTGGGGTTGCACTAGAGGCAAGGGTTCTTCGCAGCTGCTGTCCCTCATGGGCTGTGCTCTTAGCTCCTGTGGTGTCCTTAGCAGGACTGAGACCAGATGCAAGCCCTGGCTGGCCCAGGGGACTCCTCACCCAGGGTAAGTGGCCCAACTGCTTTGTGAGTGTGCAATGGCATAGAAATATGCAAGGGTGTTTCTGTGGAGCAGGTCTGGACTGATGGGTTTCTGTGCCACCTGTTAAAATGTTATGTGAGAGAAATGCTTGTGGGATGTGACTTACAGCTCCGCCGTAGTAGGAGTAAGCAGTACTCAGAGTGATTGGGTGGCAGTTGGAGCAGTCTTCACATGCTGGAGCAAACATTTGAAGTTTGGTGAAGCACCACTTTTACTGGGGAGGGCATGTGAGGCCCAGTGTAGTACACAAGCCCTACAAGGAATAGCCTGGAGGAGACTCAGAGGTGACCTTATCACTCTGAACACCTTCCTGAAAGGTGGTTGTGGTCAGGTGGGGGTTGGTCTCTTTCTTCAGGCAACAATTGACAGAACCAAGGGAAATACAGGTTGGATATTAGGAAAAAGTTTTATACAGAAAGGGTGATAAAGTATTGGAATGGCTTGCCTGGGGAGGTGGTGGAGTCATCATCTCTGGATGTGCTTAAGACTGGATGTGGCACTTGGAGCCATGGTTTAGTTGGGATGTTAGGGTTGGGTTGGACCCGATGATCTTGAATGTCTCTTCCAACATATTGATTCTGTGACTTCTCTTTGCATCTGCAGCAGTGTCACCTTCTGTTTTTGTTACTCTCTGTCATGCCAAAATGACTTCCTATTACCTGCTGTCATGGTTTAACTCCAGCCAGCAACCAAGCCCCATGCAACAACAGCTCACTCACTCACCTGCCAGTGGGATCAGATGGGTAGAAGTTAGAAATCTCGTGGGTAGGGAAAGCAAAAGCTGCACAGAAAAGCAAATCAAAACAAGGAATCAATTTGCTATTTCCCATGATCAGGTGTTTGGCCATCCCAATGAAAGTAGAGCTCTACCACATGTAACAATTGCTTGGGAAGACAAATACCACCACTTAAAACGTTCCCCCCATTCCACCTTATTCCTTCCACTTTATATCCTGAGCTCTTCCTGAAGCCTGTAGTGCTGCATGGGATTGTTTTGACCCAAGAGCAAGACTCAGCACTTGGTCTTCTTGAATCTCATGCCATTGGCTGGGGATCATCGATCCATCATATCTAGATCCCTCTGCAGAGCCTTCCTGACATCCAGCACATCAACCTCCCACCCAACTTGGTGTTGTCTGAGAATTTGCTGAGGGTGCACTCAATACCCTCATCCAGATTATCAACAAAGATACTGAACAGGAGGTTGCAATCTCACAACTCATTTTTTTCCTTTGAGATGGTAATTATCTTTCCACATTGATGTCTTTCATCTTGATTGTTGAGCTACTTGCCTAGCACCAATGCTGTGTGCCAACCTGTGCCTCCAGTTTTATCTCTCTTACCTTTCACAATTCAACTCTGTGGACTTCTTTGGAGCTCTTTCTCTCAATTGGATGATTTCCTCAAACATCTGAGCAAAGACAACATCTGCTAGTTGTACCATAGCAGAACTAGGATGACAGCAGCAGCAGTAGGAAAGGAGGGGAGATTATACTTGTGTTTGTTTTTGAAGCATCCACACGGTCTGGATATTTGGCCGTTTCAACACCCTGGAAGGTCCAAGTAGTAAAGTCCATGTTGAAAATGTATGTTGTGTGACTTTAATAGTTATTTCAATAATTTTCCATTAGGGATGCTTTGAGCTTATCAGATGCAAGTGTTCCACAAGTAAGTTTCTCTGTAATAACGTAATAGATTTTTTTTCAAGACAAAGTAAAGGGATGGGTGCACAGATTTCTGGAGGACATTATTTCAGTTGGTAATGACACAAATTTTTTTTCATCAGCAGCTTTTAGACGTTAGCAATGACACTAACCAACTTCAAATATAGTCCGCTAAAAATGTCGCCATGAGAGATAGGTTATCGGGAAAAATATGACTAATAAGATGGGTATGCTCCATACTTTTTCCCCATTAATTTATAGCATCTAGGTATAAAGACAAAGGATTTTTCTGAAGTCTTTATTTTTCAAGAAACAAACACCAGTATTTTCCTGAACTCAGGAGCTACGGAGATACAGCTTCCCACTTTTTTTCCCCTGTGGTTTATGCATTTTGCTGTCTCTTAAATGGAAGATCACACCACTGCTTTTGCTGAGTAAGAAAACTTTTAGGGATATAAATCTGGAAACCTTAAAAACATGTAATAAATATTACAGTACATGTAACTGATGTGTTTTCTCTCTAACTGGACACCTCTTTTCATAAATCTGTAATTTTTCAGAAAGTTTAAATGCCTACCCTGAAAAAACATATTTTTAAACTTTTTTAAAAGGATTATTTGAATAATGAATGTAACCAAATGTGTGTGATACAGTAATATGTAAGGTACTGATACCAATGCAGAAATAAAAAAATTCAACTGTGTTACAATGTTTAGAACACTAAGACATTGGAGTCTATCAGTTACACAAACTGTTTCTCTTGTGAAGATAAAATCAGTAGAGGATTGCATTGCCTAATTGTCCTACAAGCCTGACAGTTCTGTTATTACGGGATTGCAGATACCAAGTGTTCAATGCCCAGCCAGATGTCTCAGATACATTCCTAGCTGTAAGCAATCTAGCAGCTTTGATAACAGACTCCATACCTACCATGAAGTTGATAATTTGACTCCCAGGCTCACTACTCCACTTCTGTGTTAATTGCTGGGAGGTGAATGGACTACTTAAATCAAAATTTTGTGAGTAGGCTTGGATCTACTTGCCACCTGGGAAAGAGAGTTTCTTTTTCCCTGGCTTCCAGAATCTGCAGACAAGGGGTTAACTTGTGTATGTGCAAATGAGACAGGTCTGCTATGTAGGGTTTGCAAGTGCCTGGATACCTGAGAGGCCTCTTAAGTCCTGGACTGCCCTACTGGGCACTCAGTTCAAAAAGTCTTCTTCCACAGGTTTTTAGACTGTGTGCTGTAGGACATATTTTCCTTTGGGAAATATCTTGCAGCCCTGTGCTGCAAGCACTTGGTGTTTCTTTGCCTTTGGCTTTCTGTTCCCTGCAGGGTGGGGCTGTTGGTCCATTTGTCCTAGCAGCTGGTCAGTGTGAAAGCAGTTTTGTTGTCACTTGTGTTTTCAGTTGTGCTTTTCAATTAATACTTGAACACCTACTATAAGGGGATGCCATGACAATAAAGCTCATGTAAAAAGTTTGTCATGCCCTGAAAGCCTGTCTCAAAAACATGTTTGAAAAATAATCCAAAATTTCTTTGGTATACCACATCCGTGTCCATTTTTAATTCTGTTGTATTAGAAGGATATTGAAATACTGAAGTCAGTGTGGCACGGTCCCCTGCGATTGTGACTGTAGTGGGTGGTGTATAGAAGAGTCTGAGATAATTGGTTTTGTCTTAAGAAGGGAGTGCCAAATGAAGATGTCTTCACCTGCCTAATAAAAGGATGGGCAGAGCCAGGCTCTTCCTGGCTGTACTCAGCAAAAAGACAGAAGACTTGTGGATACAATGGACAATAATCATATTGATAGAAAGAAAAGTGTCCTCACTGTGAGCCATGATTGAACACTGGAACATGGTTACGAAGGGAGATTGTATAGTCTCCATCCTTAGAGACACTCAACACATAACGAGAGAAGATTTGAACTATATGATCTCTAGAAATCCCCTTCAGCCTAAGTTATTCTGTGATTTCAATGATGGCTCTTTTAATCTTTTATACAGCTCTCTATCAAGATAGAATTTTATTTTCAGCTTATTCTAAATATGAAGAGAAAAAAGCCAGGAAATACTTTCTTAAAATTCAGTAGGTTTTCTTTTTTCTTTGACTGAGCCATTTCTTTGCCAATAGTTCAAGAAAGAAACATTCTTTTTCATTGTGAACACTAAAGTAGATTTTTCTGCCATTAATTCATCAGATCATGCATCTCACTTAAGTATTATAGGGAATAAAATAAAAGCTTGTTTCTCTTGAAAAGCTTACAATCTCAGAGAATCTTGATTCTTCAGAAGAGTTCTTATGTATCCTCTCTCTGTTATAATAGGGTCAAAGTTAGATCTCACATGTAAGGCCAATAGGTGGAAGTAGATGAAAATATAAAGACAATTTGGAAATAATAATAATTTTAAAAAATCGCTGTCTCCTCTTGTAAAAAATGAGAACAAAAACATTTCCCTAACCAGATACACTTAGATTTCAAATAAAGTGAGATTCAACTGTACTCCAAAGATTATGTATTCATGTAATAGTTCTTTCTTGTTTGTGGCCTTTTTTTTTCTTTTTGTGAATGAAAATTAGATTGGCTGAATGTATCTTTCAAACCACTAAGACAAACTCTGCAGTTCTTTGTTTCAGGGAAAGTTGTAAAATATTCCTTAAAGGCAAATTATTCCATTAGGTTAGCACAGATGTGTCATTTACATCCAAACTTTGGGGATGTGTGTGTAATATCGGCATGCACCTGTCCAGCTGGATGTGTGAAAGCATCCAAAAAGGTCATAAAAGGCTTTTTTGCATTTTCAACAGGAGGATGGTGAGACTGATGTAGGTGACAGCTAAACTACAGCATTAGTTTACAGCTTGATAAACAACCTGCTCTTACATAGCTATGTAGCTATGCAGTTGCTAGTGCTGAGTAAAAGAGGGGGGTAGAGCATTATGCTCCAAGAAGCTGGGAAGGGACAGATTTTCTCATCAGCAGCATGATCAGACACAGCTGCATCTGGTGACAGGTCTGCATCTCAGTTACAGCTTTGACTTAAGTAACTCTCTGAGCCACTAAAACCGAAAAAGGGACTCATTCTTCATGCATCAGATAGTGGAGCTGTGCAACTCATTGCAAGAGGATGTCATGGATGCCAGCTGTTTAAAGGGAGACTGGAAAAATACATGAAAGAGTAATTCATAGACATTATATATATATATAAAGAAATGTCATCCTACTGTTCCTTTGATGTCTATTTTACTACTGTGATAGAAAGAACATTGAACTAGGTGGCCCTTATGTTTTCTAGGTTCTTCAGATGGACCTTTCACTTTTGTGCATATTCTAAAAGCCTATATTTTTAAATGGTCTTTATGAAATCCCATAATTACTTTGCTGCTTGTAATATTTGTTGGGGTCGGTGACTGAGCAAATATTAACTAAGGGTATTGCCCAATACTATTCTACCATCATTTATAAAAGAACAGGTTTACAGTGTGGCAGGAAGATTATCTACCATAGTTGTAACACAAGCAGTTTTAATGACAGAGACTATTGCACCCTGATGTTTCAATTAAGACTTAATTCACTCTAATTTTCCTATATCTGAAGAGTCTTGTTCTAGAATGATGTGTTGTCTTGTTTTTTTGTTTGTTTGGTTTTTTTTAAGAAATGGAAAAGCTGATTGCTTGTGTGCAAGAAAAGCCAGATGCTATTTGTAGACTGATTTGCTTTCCATGGGCTGGAGCTGGAACTGCAGATCTTGCTAAGTGGGGCAGACTCTTCAACGATGCAATTGAAGGTTAGTCATTTTGTAGTTACAGTAGAAGTTAAGCAATTCTGAAATACACAGTAGCCAATTTTTTAAATGGAATACAATAGTCTTGAGAGTACCGCAATCTTTATCCAGTGATCTTTCTCCAGAAAGGAAGGAACTGGCATTTCCACTAGGGTACATTTTCTGTACCAGCTTGAATCAAATTATATTTGATTGGGTGAAAAAATTATATCCTCAGAGCTACATTTCACAAGAGTACAGTATGCTTGACTGCTTCAGAAACTACTGGTATGATTCAGAAACAGAAGTACACTGAATATTGTTGATAAGCCAGTCTTCAGCAAGGTTAACAGTGAAGATATGAGAACTATTTGTGAGGCTGCAGAGTATCTCTTATCCAGTGTTTGTACTTCTTGTATCAAAACTGAAATTTAATCTTTGAATTTTATAACAGTGAAATGACATTTAGTTACACTATGAAGTAATTTTCATTGCTCACAAGATATATCAACATTAAAAAGATCCATTGCTTGACCTATTTGAAGAGGAACCAAGGCCATTTTCCAGATCTTCCACAAAGAAAAAAATAATTTCATATTCATGAGCATTGCCATTGCAGTTTTACCAGTCCTCTAAAATGCAAGTATATTTTCTGGTAAGCAGTTGCACATTGAATTTTCCTTGAAATTAGGGGGAAAAACCAAAAAATAAGAAAGAAAAAGATTTTGTCCACTGGAACTACTTCCAGAGTTACTAAGGAAATGGCCTAGGATGCAGATTAATAAAGTCAGGGTACAGCATGGTCTTTCAGAGATGGTTTCTGCAGAAAGTACAGAAGATGCAAACTTTTCTGCACTGGTATCTATGGTATTAGGTTGTGGTTTAGTCTAGCTCTTCTAAAAGAGTCTATCTCTTTGTGTCTGACCCATTACTTCAACATAACTGGCAGTATGTATGATGTCAAGGAGATTTGAAACAAATCAACATTTTTTTCTGATCTATTAATTCCTTACTTTCACTAGACAGTGAAAGTCCTCAATTTTGAAAGGAAAATAGCAAAAGCATGTAAATTTTCTTCTCTATAAACATCCACCAATTTGCACTATGATTCCACATTTTCCAATGTGCAGTGCTGAAGAGCTGACAAAAAAGAGAACAGGGATTGTACAAGTCTAATATAGTTTCGCTTACTAATGCTGCCCATGAAATGATATATTTTACACAACCCTCAAACTTACTGTTATTGAAATGAATTAATTTGTGGTTGTTATAAAAACTTGTAACAATAAAGTTGCTTTCAAACCTCAGCTGAAATCAGGATCTTGTGGATTCTGACCCAAGGCATTTATCAATCAGATCAGCTGGAGGAGCAGCATTTGAGACTAAAGGAAGGGTGGAAACCTAATCTCTTGCATGATTAAATCACAGTAGCAGCAATAGCAAGCAAGTGCACAGGATCAACTGTAAGAAGGATTAATTAAAATAGTGTGTATATTCTGCAGAATAAGTAAAAACTTAATTAAATTTTTTTACTGTGTCTATTTGAAATAATAATAATTCTTTTCCCTCCCTTCCTTCACCTCTTCTGCAGTGTACTGTATAAGGCTTCCTGGAAGAGAAACTCGTCTTGAGGAGCCTTTTGCAAAAGACATGACAAGTGCAGTTAATGAAATTACAAGTGTTTTGTTAAAATCATTGAAAGAAAAACCATTTGCATTTTTTGGTCACAGGTAAAAATATATACAGTTTTAGGAGCTCTAGGAATAGAGTTACTTGTTTTTATTTGCAAAACCTTTAGGAAAAATATGCTTCTGCAAGGATCTTATGTCAAATCATCCTAAAACATGCAGTTGCTGTCAAATAATCTGGTTATTTATTTATTTATTTGTTTGTTTGTTTGTTTGTTTGTTTATTTATTTATTCAGGGGCAACATCTGAGCATGTGTTTCTAATAAATTATAATTGCATTTATTGTTAATATTTGTGCCAGTGCTTGATCTATATGAATGCAGGGGGTGAACTGTCGGAATCTGTGGTATTGATGATTCTGAGATTGTAGAAAGTCTCTCGGGGCTCTGTACAGGGGGGTTCCTGACCCCCTGCAGGGTCCCAGACTTTCCAGGGCAGCCAGAGGGATGTCCTGGATTCCCACAGCAAACCGTTCATGAAACACAGATTTTAAAGATTGCTGAGTCTCAAGTATTCAAAATAACTGTTCTTATTGAAAATTAAGGCGACTATTAAAAGAAAAAGAATATGAAAAGGTCTTATTTGCAAAATTAGACTGTGAAGGAATATACTTCATATCAATAAACCAATATCATTATAATCTGCATGTAATATACCATTTCAGCAATTGTTCAAGATAGCCAGTTAGCACTAAAATTAAAATTATGTTTGTATTTTCCAGTTTTTATGTATGTTTTTACTTACTTTGCTTTAATTTCTTCTTTTGTTGCAGTTTTGGAACTTATTTGAGTTTTGCCTGTGCACTTCAGCTGAAAGAAAAGTACGGACTGGAGCCAGTCCATCTTTTCTTGTCAGCAGCACATACCCCAAATGTAAGCTACAGAATCATTAACATTATGAAACAGAACCATAAATTAGCTACTAAGAGTAAGAATAATATTTTACAGTATGGTATGCAGAGTGGTTTTAATAAAAAAATCAACATTGCTTCAGAATCTATGGAGTGAAAAGTGTTCTGAGGTTGATGCAGAATACCTAATATTCACTGCTGCTAATCTTAGCCTTGGGAGAACAATCTCCTTAAAACTAATGCTGGAACTAATTAATGCTTAAACTAACTAATCCTTAAACTACACTTTTTTGAATATTGTGTTGTTTAGTATGGCCATTGGCTTAACACTCAGAAATAATCAAACCAACATTCTAAGTGGTCCTCCTAACTGTGTAACGTGTGAAGTAACTGTCTTTACCTAGTCTTTCATAAACCTGCTGCATCAGCCCTCAATACATTGGTCCAATTTTTTTCCTCTCTCCTCATTCTTTGTAGGATTTTAATCAGGTTTTTTTTTCTGAGGTTTTGCTGATTCTGCTGGTATTTCTCAGAAAAACAGAAGTGAAGTGGCATTTTTCCAGTCCTGTCCTCAGTCAGCATTTGCTGTTTCTATTCTTCCGTTTCTAAGGCTTCTTAGCAGTCCTGAGTATGAGCTCATGATTCATAGAGGCAATTATTATTCCTGCAAATTTCCATAATCAGTTGGTCTCTTCAGTCCTACATTAGCCAGGTATATGTCCAGCGTTAGGTTTTTCTTTCTCTTAGATTATTTTACTAGTTGTATTTCAATAGTAAGAGTCAAGCTTGAACAAAATAATATTAACAATTGTTTGTCTGTATAAGTTTCAGAAGTAGAGACTACATGGCTCATTCATAGTTTGTAATTTCAGTAAGTACAGTCTACTAACCCTTTCCATGAAGTGCTCTTTGTGAATGTGAAACGAATCAGCCATGGTATTCTGGAGATGGAAAATTATTGTACTTTCTACTAAAATAATTTTAATGAAAAGGTTCTTTAAAGTATATTATATACAACATGTGATCTGCTTTGTTTGGTACTGACAGTCTGCAGCATATCTTGCCATCAAGAGCATGGTCCTACCTGATGGAAACAATGACCTTCTTGCACTGATGAATATTATAGGAGGAAATTTTGAATTTGCACCTGATGAAGACAGTTGGAATGATATGGTGCTTACTTTCAGAGAAGACATTAGAATTCTTCAGACGTCTTCGTAAGTTTTACAGCTTTGTATCACTTCTGTATTTGTATTTTACATTTTTACTTCTGTCTGATCATGTTTTCTTTTTTCTTTCTTAGTAACTTGTTCTCATTTCTGTTAGAAAAAGAATAAGAAACAGTAAAACATAATATTTTTCCTTTGTGTGCTTTTCTATTTGTTTTCTGGTATTTAAGCCCTAGATGAAACAGTGTGTACTGCAGCAACCACAACTGTTACTGCAGTAGTGAACCTGTCGTGGCAGAATTACAGTTCTACCTATGATCCAAAGTTAGCAGCTACTAAAAGGGAATATTCTCATATCTTTTATTGTTTTCTGAGATTAACAACCTCAGCTCATTATGCTTCAGGAACATTGCATTCAGCCTCCAGATCCTCTAGCCTAACCAGAAAAAGAATCCCTGTATTCTGGGGCACCCAGACAGCAACTGGCTTCCTGTGTCCTCACTGCTGTCCCCACTGGACGTCACATGACAGCTCATGTAGCTGAGTAGTTAAGGTTTATTGGCAAAACCAAGGATACTCTTGGATGTGGGACCCATTTTGGTCTTAGGAATTTGACATTGAAAGGCACTGAAATGTTAGAATTTGTATATAAGTAGATAACATAATTATTTATTGTAGGTGAGAATTTTTATTGCCGATCGAAGCTCTTTTTTTTTCCCTAACTATTGGGTCATTCTTTCTTTACAATTTTATATCTAATTGCAGTAAGGTAAGGAGCTAAGAAACTTCAAGAGTATTTTCTTTTCCTGATGTTCTGTATAATCTAACTCCCGAAGTTTGTTAGTTTTGAAGAAAAAAAACCCACCTTTTTTGTATGTGGAAGCCAATCCCAAATATATGTACCTTATGGAATGTTTTATGACTACTGTGTATGTTCACAGATTTGAGAAGACAGACATGAATACTCCCCTCTCCTGTGATATAACCTACTTTTGTGGATCTGAGGATAAAATATTTGATACAAAAGGTACTTTGCTTAAATGGTTTTCCTCTTAAACTGACACATTTTCTTGTTGTATTACACCCATTAATTAGAGTTTTCTGGAGTCTACCTACTTTTTCAAGGAAACAAATCAACAGAACAGTTTAAATATATGAACAAAAAATTTGATATGGGATTTAAAATAATTATTAAATTATAGCTTTGAAATAGTTATACAAAACAACCACAATAGTTGACATTTCTCTGACACTTTAAATATATTTTTAGGTTGGCAAGAACTAACGAGTGGAGATACTTCCTTTTATGAACTTCCTGGAGGTCACCTTTATCTGCTGAAACCATCTAATCAAAGCTTCTTGATAAAACACATCACAAAAGCCTTAGAAAATGCCAATCAATGAGTATTTTCTTCAATTTTAATAGCAGGATGTATAAGATTAGTCCACAGCAACTTGTAATAAGCCACTTCTCTCTCTACATTGCATGCAGTTATGCCTCAAAGTTGTTCTGTTCCTCTGTAATCCTTTATAAGGGGAGTTTTCCTGATTTTTTGAAAACAAACATTGGCTTTGAGTCTTAAAAAACGTTTCATCTTTTCCTTCTTCTCTTGCACATGTACAAACTCTTCACTTTATTCCATAATCTTGTTTGCAACAAAATTACGTCTATGTTATTTTACTGTTAGAGCTTCTCTGTTTGTCTGCTCCTGTCAAAATGCTAAATATAATTTAATACCCAAAAAAATCCATAATTCTCACAGAAAGCTTCATTTATTCAGTTCAAATTTATTTAGATTAATATACAAGTTAAAAATAGATTATATGTAAATACCCTTTACAGTCAAACAGCTTATGCTTAAAAGATATTGCTGTCAGACCTCACAATAAGGAGGTAGTACTGCATTTTTCTCAACAGTTAGTTCATTAGCTACTGAAGAGTTAAGTATTAGTGGGAATTATTTTGAATATTCTAGATCCCATATTTTTCTACCATTGCTCTTGCTTTAGAGATATAGGCATTCATGGCATCCTCCTTTGATAAACCTGCAAAGGAAAGTAGGAGTCATTATATTCCCTCATTTGTCATCCTATAAACTTGACTACAGGATGTAAATTTAATTGGTGTAACACCTTTTTTCAGGTTCCATGCCTCCCATTTGGCTTTGCCTTTCAAATCTAGCATTCCTGGACATTCTGCCAAAATAAATGCATAGCTTTGGTTATCATGCAAATTTACATACCATTAGATTAATTTTATCAAGATAAGTGAGTAAATGTGAAGTATATATAGTAATACCAATATTAATATCTCCAACAGTGGCCTGTTTGTAGAATCCATATAGTTCCTTCAGTTCTTCATCAGTTGGTCTTGTTTTTAATTTTTTTACATCTTCTGCAGCACTATCAAAGTCAGCCTGATGAAAGAACAGAAAGGGTTCTCCTCTCAAGGGGTGTTTTTAAAACATGAGTTATAAGACACACAGTAGTATCACTAGATTTTCTCAATGCCTCACTTGAGTTTAGCAATCAGACAAGGCTTTTTCCTATGAAAGAAGCTTCATAAATGTGTACATTGTTAGAAAGGGATATAGGCTTGAAGGCTGATAGGAGCAGCCTCCACAATTTATCTGGTGTATATGTCTTTTACAGTCATACTGCACATATGAAGCCATTCACTGAACTTTATATCCCACAGTAATCTCTGAATTGTTTTGACCCTGCCTACACTGTGCTGGTTCAAGCGGTGGAGCTCAAATCCCTTTTGAGTGGTACTACTCAATGCACCCTCCATTTCCTCTGCTCTGCTCTGCTGACAACAGCTGGCACAGAGGTACCTCATGAAGATGAGCTACTGCCGGGACCACCTTCCACAGCTATCTCTGAAACACAGAAGAGCACCAGAGTAAAGTGTAAATTTACTCCTTTCATTACTGTGAATCACAGACTCACATCAACCTGAGACTGTAGCCATTCTCGCTATAAAGCATGTCTCAGGCTAAGGTTCGGAGTTCTGTTTCATGCCCAGAACATTTCAGAGAGAGATAAATTTTGTATAGTGACTACAGACCCATCAGGTCACCACACTACTCCAATGCAGAATGATACAAGTACTTTAACATGCTATATGCTGGTTTCAACAATTATCTTAGCTTTTGGGTTGGATCTGCATTAACAGAAGCACAGTATATCCTGCACAAATATTTAATATGTACAAAACCAACTGTATTGGTTTTGCATGACCTGGTTTCTCGTAGTTGGGGCAGGGGGGCTACAAGGGTGGCTTCTGTGAGAAGCTGCCGGATTCTTTCACCATGTCCAGCAGAGTCAATTCCCGGTGGCTCCAAAGATGGATGTGCCACTGGGGAAGGCCAGGCCGATAGAAATGGTGGTAACAGATTTAAGCAGGAAAATAAACAAGAAGTGGTTGGCCAGTTGTAACTGCGGCCAGAGAAGAACAGAGCGAGCCCGTGAGAGAAGCAGCCCTGCAGACAGCGAGGTCGGGGCAGGAGGGGCAGGAGGGGCTCCAGGCGCTGGGGCCGAGATTCCCTCAGGCCGCGGTGCCGCCATGGGGAGGCCGCTGTGCCCCGCAGCCCGTGGGGGCCGTGGGGATGCGGGATCCGCCACAGCCCGGGGAGGAGCCCCAGGCCGGAGCACGGGGATGCCTGGGAGGAGGCTGCGATCCTGTGGGAGACCCGTGGAGAGGGGCCCGGCTCCGGGCTGGAGCAGCCTGGCCTTGGAGGATGCAACCATAACTAGGTTGCCACATTGTTTAAAGTTTAAATAAATTACTACTGCATGTGAGCTTATGCCAGCATTAATGTACAAGGACCATTCAAATCTGTGGAAATCTTTCACCAGTCTGGAATTGTTTTCTGATCTAAATTTCTGTCCTGGTTTTATCTGGGGTATAGTTAATTTTCTCCCTAGTACCTGGTACAGGGCAGTGTTTTGGATGCAGGATGAGAATAATGTTGATAACACGCTGATGTTTTGGTTGCTGCTGAGTTGTGTTTGCACTGAGCCAAGGACTTTTCAGTATCTCACTCTCTGAACTTGAGGAGCTACACAAGAATCTGGGGAAGGGAGAGGGACACCTCTGGGACAGCTGACCAAACCGGCCAAAGGGATATTCCACACCAGAGAACATCCATGCCCCCAGCCCCCAGTGTAGAAACTGGGAGGAGTTGGCCAAAAGGGACTGATTGCTGCTCAGGGATGGGCTCAGTCGTGGTCAGTGGGTAGTGAGCAGTCATATCGTGCACCACCTGCTTCTCCTGGGTTCAATTGCACATGCACTCTCTTTCTCTCTCTCATTACTACTATCATAGTATTATATTTTACTTAAAAAAAAAAAATTTGTCAACTATTCTTATCTCAGCCCGTAAGTTTTTGCCTTCTCGCCCTTCTCACTGCCGATTCTCCTCCCCATCCCACTGTAGGTGAAGCAGGGGAGCAAGTGACTGCATGGTACTTATTTGCTGGGTAGTGTTAAACCATAACAACTTCACAGTAAGGATGAACCAGAAGCCCTGTTCAATTGTACAAGACAAATGATAAAAAATAAGTTAAGGAAACCATTAAGTTAATAACCTTATTTTCCTATAATTTTATTCTATTTGCATCTATAGGCAAGTATCACAAGATAGTTTAAAGATTTGCAAAGGCATATCTTACAGAGCAAGAAAAGTGCAGAAATGAAATCTAAATACTAAACTTTTTGTTCTTTATCTCCCTCCAGACAATCAGTCTGCACAGACTGTTGCTTAGGATTTGCCTGCTTACACAACATGCTTAAGAGCAGCCTGTAAAAATATAATTTCCATTTAATCATGTGACGATAAAATTCCCTTTAACTCCTCAAATAAAAAGCATAAAAATATATACAAACATAAACATACACATGTGCCTTAAAGATAAAAGCACAAATTATCAAGATTATTACCAGACACTATCTTTTTGCAAAGAAAAAAAGCTTGAATTAATTCTTCATTTACAGCAGAATATTTTACCAGTTTGCAAATTTTATAAATATTTTACAGCTTCACTAAAGAAAGAGCACATTATTTTATTAATTTGTCCTCATTCCCATACAGATTCAGTAAATTTATGGATATGGTTGGTAACTTGTCAACCACACCAATATGGACAGACAAGCTCTATAATGTCTAATGCAGAATGTGTATGCATCTTAAAATTTCAACCACTGATTTTTTATGTGAAAGTATAACGGTATATAGCTATGGAACAGCATATCATACTGCATTCAGCTCTTTCTTATCATAATTTATGGCTCATTGCTTAATCATCGGGCTAATAAATTTACTTTCTAGACTGAGTTCAAGGCGGAATAAAAAAATTTATAATTTCAGCAATTATTAATTAAGCAAAGGTGGCGTTATGTTTGGGATTTGGCAATTTTGACCCTCTGAAGAAAGAGATTTCTTCTTAGCTGTAACACAGCACAATGAAACCTTTGTGCTATTCAGCATAATTGCAGCTCAGAAGAAAATTACTAAGCTGCTGGCAGTGCACTCCCTGCATCTAGGTCAGAGCATTGTGCTGCTTACTCTTTGCAAAATGCACACTAAGCTGAGACAGACATAATGAGGCAGCGATAGAAGAGCTTGCAAATCTTGAAAGTGAAAGGGATAATAGGAAAGCCTAAAGAAGAAAATCAGTTTAATCTATCAGGACATGGCCAAGACAAGGGAAGTATTCATAGTTTCCCACAATGGTAGGAGGCTAAAAACCAGCAATAAAGATAATTTCCTTAACAGCTATTTAAAGCTACAGTCAGAGAGTACGTAAAAGGAAGCTCTCTCTCTAGCCAGAAGTAGAAGTTCTCTCCCTAGCCAGAAGAAAGTAGAAGCTCTCCTACCAAAACACAAACCTATCAAAATGTAGCAAAGATCCATCCAAAGATGCATACACCCTAAAAAAATACATACAACTCCCTTAAAAATTATTACACTTCCCAAATTCACATAGAACACTGCCTCAGTGTTAGAAGTTTCCCTCCTCCTTTAACAGCTCCAAGCAGCTAGATCCTAAAAACATAAATATGTACCTGCATTTCCATGTCTAATTCAGTCCTAGCAAACTCAGATGTATACCCGTAGAAACATAATTCATGCATACTCCAAACAGGTAAAATTACATGACCCATGAAAAAAAAAAAATCCAAAATATTACATGACTCATGAATTAGTTCAAATTAACCAGCTTGCATCCTCCACTTGTGAAACGTAATGCACTATTTAACCTCCAAGGGTTTAGGCAGATTTCCCTTGACACAAGGTAACCTTGATTTTGCAGTAAAATCCTTATGCGGAAGAAATACCACAGTCTCCAGCACGGCATTACACGGACACACAGCGCATCCCTCTCCTCTCGCCTGTGTCTCCCCAGATGCAGAAGTGCGTACCTGAAGAGTCATGGTGCTGCGGGGATGCGCAGGGATCGGCCTCGCTCCTTCTGCGGCGGGGACGCGGCTGCAGTGGGGGACGGTCCCGTGACCTCGGCTCGGCAGCGGAGCAGCGCCGGCAGCGCTCGGGGACTGCAGCGCCGGCAGCGCTTTGGGACTGCAGCGCCGGCAGCGCTCGGGGACTGCAGCGCCCGCAGCACTCGGGGACTGCAGCGCCGGCAGCGCTCGGGGGCTGCAGCGCCGGCAGCGCTCGGGAACTGCAGCGCCCGCAGCACTCGGGGACTGCAGCGCCGGCAGCGCTCGGGAACTGCAGCGGCGGCAGCGCTCGGGAACTGCAGCGCCGGCGGCGCTCGGGGGCTGCACGGGGACCCGCTGCGACAGCCGAGCGGCGAGCAGCGCCGGGAGGGGCGGTGGGGCAGGGAGCGCTCAGCCCCCAGCGGTGACAGCCTGAGCTCCAGCGTACTACTGAGGATTAGCCCGCCAGGTTGAAAGCACTGATACAGAGGGATTCCCAAGCCGTTTCTTTGACACATTTCTTGAGTGATTTGAACCGCAACCAGCCCAGTTATTGGAACTGTTCCTTCTGCCGCAGTCCCTGCCCATGTCCATGTCCAGCCAACCTGGGACCTCGCACCCTTCAGCTGCAGCTCTGAAAAACACGAGGGTCATCCCTCACACAAGTGGCTACACACACAAAATACACTGTGAATGCTGGTTTTTAATTTGGTCTACTAAGTACAGAATAAAAAGAATATTAAATTAATTGATAAACTACCCTACAAATGTAACCACTGAAGAAAAAAAAAATCCATCCCTCTTGTATAAATTAATTATTTATATTCATGCCTCTCTACATTTATGTACATCATTCCCTAAGCATAGTTTCATCTATGGTAGGTACTTCTGCATTTTTTAACCTGCTAACTTCCATAAAACCATGCCAAAAAACTAATTTGAGGGGAAACAAGTCCAGGTTAAATTAAGTCAGGAATTAACAACAAAACACTCCAAGTAAATAGGAGATTAAAAAAAAAAAAATTGAAAACATCTCTGAAGCACCGGTGCCTTAGTGAAGCTCTGCTCTTTCAGGGCCAAGAAGCTGTACTTAACCATGCTGTGAACTACGGTGAATGTGGAAAACGAACGCACTTGTGAGGATTTGTTAAAGGCTGAGGGCAGATTGCAGGAAATGCTGAATGGAACCAGTCCTTGCCTGTCCCCCTGGTCACAGAACACCACAGAACACCGTGCACAGCACGGCACATACTGCAGTGCAGAGAGGGACACCCCTGCGGCTGTGAAGTTCCTATGGTGACCTGGCCCTAACTGCGTTAGCTGACAAGCGACTAAGCAGGTCTGCCATCGCCTGTGCGCCAGTTTTCGGGAGCGTTCGAGCCCTGGGAACGCCAGGTGATCCTACGGTGACTTGCTAAGGACAGGCCGCCGGCACCAGCGCTTTGTGCCTGCTTTGCTCGAACGCTGCGGCCGCTTCCCGATGCGGCCCTGAACGCAGCGCGGGCATCGCCCGCCGGGCGGCTACAGCGGGACGCACCCGAGCTGCCCCGCGCCGCTCCCGCCCCGCCCGCTGCAGACACCGCCCCACCGCCGAGAGACCCGCCCAGCCCGCTGCAGACACCGCCCCGCCCGCTGCAGACACCGCCCGGCCCGCTGCAGACACCGCCCCGCCGCGGCCGGGGGCGGAGCAGGGCCGGGCTGCGTGCAGCGTGCTGCGGCGTGTTCCCGGACGCGGTACGGCCGAGGTAGGGCTGGCTTTCCGCCGGCGGGCGCGGGGCAGCTGCGGCCTGGGCCCCGCGGTCGGGCAGCCGGAGCCGCTGCGCTCCCGGGGCCGTCTGGGCCCGGGCCGGCCCGCAGTGCTGGGCGGGCGAGGGGCTGGCGGCCCGGGCAGAAGGTGCTGCGGTCCCGGCGGAGCCGTCCGCAGAGGGAGCCGGCGGCGGCCGCGGTGCGTTGTGCTGGGACCGCGCTTAGCCCGCGGTTCCCTGTGGGCAGCAGCGGGAGGAGCCCACGGCGGAAGCGGCTGGGCGGTTCCCGGCGGAGGGGAACGTGGGCGCCGTTTCTCCGGTCGCCCTTCCGCCGGAAGCGAGGGGGTCGCGGCCGCGGTGCGAGTGGCGGAGCCGTGTTCGTTTGTTCGCTGGTTGCTCTGTTTCCCTATTCCTGCACGCTTGTTTTCCTCAGGGGTGCCCATTTTGAAAAGAAAAATGTAATCTTTGAACATGTTTCATGTTTTTTTTGGGTTTTTTGTTTTTTTGGTACGTGTCTATTGCTGATTTTGCTTGTCAAAATCAGCATCAATTAGCGCATCCCTAATTGAAACCTTTTAAAGGGGATAACCCAGTGCTCATTTTTTAAAAACAATGAGAAGCTTCCATTCTAACTCAGTCACATGTAAGAATGCTTGTGGTCATTTCCATTTTTTACTTGTGTTCACTTTTCGGTTGTTGCTACTGTGATGGTAAGCAAAAGGGATTAGATAACTACAGGAATGATAGCTCCATGGAGGACTAATAGGTTAAGTCGGCACATCTTTATTCTTACATCTCAGATGAATGCTTGAGAGCTGAGGGGAATGCCAGCCCTGTCCTCCCCAGGTGGTTTTTCCAATTTCCACTGTTGCAGGCAGATAACTGGGTTGGATGGACCATCACTGAGGTGGCCCAGGGTATTTAATAGATTATTCTGAGAGTACTCAAGAGTGCCATGGTGTTTTTTTATGTATTTTGGAATTCTCTGTTTTACTGTTCTCTGAAAACTTCTTTAGTGGTCTTGACTTTCATTTTGGGTAACAGTTCACATTGCATTGATACAATTCTGTTCAAGACAGACTCACAGACCATCTTGAGTTCGACAGAATTCACAAGGATCATCAAATTCAATTCCTGGTCTTTTCAGTCCAACTCATGGATGGCCCCCAGAATCACACCATGTGCATCTTTCTCCTCCAGACAAGAGTTTAAATGAGTGAAAAATCTATCCAGATAGATGTTGCTTGATGGCAGTACACTTGGGTGAAGAGGATATTTGTCTTTTTATATCAAGGTGGTTCACTACCAGTACACAGAGAATTGGTATGACTAGCAAAATGGTATCTTTTGGGTGGCAGCTTTTAGGTGTTCATGAGCTGTACATAAATGCAATCTATATGCCTGCTTGGGTAACTAGGAAACCTAGAAAGGAGTCATGTCATGGTTCCCCTGATAAGAAACCTGAGCTGCTCTGATTCTGAGTTTGCCTGTGCAACAATGGAAATGGCACTAGTTCCCAAGCAGGGGCATGGGGGCTTTGCAATTTACCAGAGACTGTCATCAGGCTTGACCTCACGTCTTCACTGCTACTCTGGACTAGAAGAATCAGGGCTAGAACAATTACAGTTTCTCCACTCCTGTTCAGTTTTTCTCACCCCTGAAGGCATTGTCCAGGTGACACAGAAGACCCCTTCTGAACTTTTGGAAGCTTGTAGGGGATTGTCTTTCTTCCCTGAAAGCAAACTGTTAAAGAGTCTGCAAGTTTTTATCATACCTTCCAAATACAGAAAAACACAAAGGCATGGACTAAAGATTGAAAAAGCAGATTTATAAAAATCCTAAATAAATTTAGGAACTTGTTTCATGTTGTGATTCAGTTTTTGCCTTTTTTTTTACTTCCAATGTCACAGGGGGCAGTGCAGCTGTGCATCAGTGAAAATGGAATGGTCCTTCAACCTCAGATTCTGGGGATGGGTTGTTGTTTGGTTGGGCTTGTGGTGTTTATTTACATCTATAATACCTCCAAGCTGCTTTTGTTTAGCTTTAGAAGGGTCTGTTGTCACTGCTGTTGCCATACTGTCCTGTCCAGCTTTTTTTTTATTTATTTAAAAAAACCCAGCTCCACACCTGCCCTGTGGAAAATGTGTAAAGGACTGGTGCTTGAGGAGGTTGATAAATGCCAGTATCACTGACATACAGCGTTTTCTCTTCTGCATTCCCAGAAGAAGCTTCTGGTAACAATGTCCACAGCAGACAGTACAGTATTTGAACTAATGTCTTGCTCTTTCTTCCTAGCGTGACAAAACACAGAACCACCTCAGGATGTCTGTAATTCAGCAAGGGACAGCAACACTTCGGAAAGCAAAAAAAACCACTGTAAAAACATGTCTAGATAACCCCTTTGTTTTCCAGTGGAAAACCATAGATGGAGAAGATATGCATTTTATACTAGAGACCATAGAAGAAAGGATTAAACATACTGGACTTAAAAAGATTGAAAGTCCAAGAAGGAAAAAACGTTCCCTTACAAAAAAACAAACAGAAAGAAAGTGTGATGCGGGCACCAATGAATTCCCTAAAGAGGAAGCAGAAAGCCACCAACAAAAACCAGGATGGACTGACATAAGTATCAGAAGACAGCTTGCTATTGGAGTTAATGAAGTTACAAAAGCATTGGAAAGAAATGAACTTCTTCTCTTGCTGGTGTGCAAGTCTGCCAAGCCTGCCATGATCACGTCGCACCTGATCGAGCTGAGCGCGAGCCGCGCCACACCGGCAGGGCAGGTGCCACGGCTCAGCGAGACTGTCGCGCCCCTTCTTGGCTTAACCTCCGTTTTAGCACTTGGCTTCAAAAAGCAGTCTGACAAATTCAATGAAGCAATAGCAGCAATAATTCCAAAGATACCGGCTTTGGAAGTGCCGTGGTTTCAGTACAAAACGGAAGAATCCATGGCTTATGCAGATACAGATTCTTCAGAAAATCTGGAACCCGAAGAGCTTGCCGAGGTGCTGGGGGATAAGCTCACAAGTCAGAAGCGGAAGCATACGGAAAGTAATCAGCCTGATCTTTCAAATGTAATTTTGCAGCCTTTGAAAATCAAGAAACTTGTCCCAAATCCCAACAAGATAAAGAAACCACCTCGCAAAAAGAAAAAGGCTTTTTCAGCATAACAGAGTTTGGTTCTTTCTAGTAAACAGATTTTTAAATGCAGGATGGAGTACAGTTCTAACAGTTCTTCTAGGCTTTACAGTGTAAAGGTTTTGAGCACAAGGTGGACTTCATGTTATATTTGGCTGAGGTACTTTCTGCTTTAATAAAAAACATTGCTCAGACTGGAGTGTTAGTCTTTACTGGGGTAAGTATTTTCATTTGCAGCTGGAGATCAGAGTTAAAGCCGGTAAAGAACATGCCAAAGTAATTTTAAGACATAATTTATACTTCTTTGGAATGAATACAAAGCATTAAATGAACTTTGTCTTTTTACAGAGATGAACATGCTTTAAGCAAAAGAGATTTAAGTATAATTACTCAAATAAATACCAAAAGTGAAAGTTTATTTAAACAAAGGTCCATGCCAGTAAAACTCTTTCAAAGCTGGGTTCAAGTAAATAGCACAGGCAGACTTCCCTTCTGAACTCTTATAGTTTTTTCTGCTGAACAACTAGTTTTGGTCACAAATGTATGCAGAATTGGGTTCCACCTGATACCTGGTGCATGGTATGCTGAAGGAAAAGCTATTTCCAAATACAAACCCAAATTACTACTGCTGCAGGTTAAAAAAAATACTTCCATATGCAAACTATTAACACATATCCTGTGATAAAATGTAAACTAAACTCCATTAGATCTCTAAATGAAATCTAAAATTTCCCAGGAAATTGACATAAGACATATGCTGCTTTATATAAACTAGATGAGAACTGTTACTGCTACAAGACTGAAAATGTATGTCATTTCTGAGTTTTCTTTAATTTTACTGGGGACTGTGAAAAATTTCCTAGTGTGGGAGCTGGGTTGTAGGAAGGAAGGAAATAGCACTGCAATTCAGGCAATCAACAGCCTAGGAATTTACTTGTAAAAGAAAGCGTAAAATACCTTAACTGAGTAACTTTTGTTGTTCCTTAAAAGGTAAAATTTACATGTATTTTTCATGTAAAATCCAGACTTCCACTGCCATCCAATAGCTCATCTGTATTTTGAATTTATTTAGAGATTACTTTAGTTCATGATACCAACTATGAAGGCAGGCAGTAGCAATGAGCAGTGACTGTGTAGTCATGATGCTCCTTGAAGTTTAAACACAGCATTTAATGCTACAAATTGTTCTCATGTCTGAGGGTGCAAGAAGAGGTGAGATTTCTTTGCCTTGCTTTATAGTCCTTTGTACACGTCCTTTTTTTGGATTTCTGAGTGCATAAAACTTGGAAGGCATGCTAGCACTAGTGTGTTTCATTCCCAGGTTGGCTAACCATAGCATAAGAGTAGTAGCATTTAGCGTAAGGATTAGCTTTGGTAAAAAGCATAAGCACAGCAATCATCTTTCAAGCACTTCCTTGCCCAGGTCTGTCTTTGTCTTCAGGGATTTGGGTTCCCTCTGCAGACAGGAAGTTACTTTGGGAAAGGAAAAACAGGTGTTTAAAAAGCCAGGTGGGAAAGGTGGTAGAGCAAGCTTTACATTTACCAATACTTTGCAAACACCTATTAGGTTCTGAGGAGTCTTACCTTCATAGCAGGACTAATGCACACAGGCTCAACCTTAGAAACAAGAGACGGGTCTCTCCTACTGAGCTCCTGGCAGTGGCCCCACACAGATATTCACCTTTTGTTTAGTACCTGCTTAGGAAGTCAAAGTGAGTTGCCACAATTTTCACCTCCAATGTCTTATTATGTGGGTGCAAGCTGGGACACCTTCAAGATTCAAGTCCACTTGATGCTGTGATACTTCAGCAAAGTGAAGAGCACTCAGCAGGAACAGAAGAGGCCATGCTTAACACACACTAGTCCATGAACAGAACTCTTCAAGAGCTGCCCCAACACTCAGGCTTAGATGCCTGCTTCCCTCATGCTCTGGCTGATAAATTATCTTTCTCAGCTACAGTGCTGCACAGCTTCTACAGGAGCATGTCTCTGCCCTCCAGCCCCCTAGTGAATGTGCAGAGGGAGCCATTCAAAAGTTTATCTCCTGGTTTCAGAAACAAGTGGCACTGTTTTACTAGAAGAGAGCACAAGACTGGCCACGCTCCTTCCTTCATGTGCCCTAACATGAAGATTTAGGCAGAAGTCAGGCTGCAGGAAACTCACATTCAAGTCTGTCTTCTACCTGGACATACTTGGTCCTATCATGGCCTCAGTTTTACAAAGGACAATACTACGGAGGATCTGCCTTCTGATTTCAGAGGAGAAAAGAAATCATCTGCCTAACATTTCTTCCACTCATAATTTTTTGAGGGGGAGGAAGGCAGAGAACATGAACATATCCTTCACCTAGGCTGTGATCACCTGGGCTGTCTCAGCAAGAAGTATCTCAGCCATGAGGACTGAGCTATGCCCTGCTGTCACACCTCACCTCAGGCAGCCCTGAGAGAGGACTGCTGAGGCTCTGCCTTTAAGAGCTGAAGCAGAACACACTGAGCTCCTTGGTGAACCTCATCCCAGAGTGTTCTATCAAAATGCCTGCCAAGGAGGCAACATCTTCTCTTTTAGGAGTAAAAAAAGTCTTTGCTGGGGTCAAGATTAAATTTTTCTTGTTACTTCAGGTATCACTACCACCAATTATATTTTCAGGCACTTAATTCTGCTCAGGCCTCAAACAGAGTCCAAGCTGTCTCTGCACCACCTGTTTTGACTGCTACTAGTAGGGAGGTATCAAGAGTGGCCATAGATGTAAAGCCCAACTGCATAATGAGATAGCTTCTGAAGTCCTTTTACTCATGAGGTCCTGAGCTGGTGCACAACCAGGGGTCAAACAAACCACGTTCAGTCCCTTCCTTTGTTTGAAGGAGGTTGAATGCTTTAATCAGCTATAATGCAGAAAGGGAAAGTATCACTGTTTCTAGGGCAGAATCCTCTCACCACAAACACTTTTTCAACAAGAAAAAGAAACCAAACCACAAACCATTCACACAGTGGAAAAGGGGCGGGAAGAAAGAAAAACCCCACTGCTACAAGGTAGTGGGTAGGGCTAACAGTTATGAAGAACAGACAAATTTATCTTCATGTACAGAATTAAACTTCCAGCAAAATCTGCTGTCAGAATTACAGGCATGTTTAAAAGGAAAATTAGACATTTGCATTTCATGAGATATTCAAGTCACATTCAAAAGATGCTCACAGCACAGAGGCTTCACTACCACAATTTGGCACTTTCAGCTAGAACAGTTTCTTAACACAGATTTTCTCAGTGCTCATGATTCTACAGCATCCATGAGCTGAAAGAACTGCTATCATCTCTAGCTATGACACTATGCTGGAATGCATATAAAGTGCTTCAGAAGCCACTCCCATTGCCGAGCATTCCTTAGGGAATTAAAACAGTTCCACCCAACAACAAGGATCAGCCCTCTTACATTTCAGGAAGTGCAGTACAGAGACTTCCAAGGACTGAGGGCAGAGCATTTCTCTTCTGCTTACCAGCCACATATATAGCAAAACTTTTTGTTCCAAAGTCAGGATAAAAACACTACCAGGAACAATTTATGAATACATATTTACACAAGGTACTTTTCATTAGAATTACAGACTTCATAGGAAATCAAAGTAGACAAAGGAATATGTGCAATTTCGCAGAAGCGTTGAAAACATTCAAACTATAAATATCCTGATAGCACTACTAAAATTCTTAGTTTTACACACAGGCTGATGTTATTCTACTGAGGAAAAACTAAGGTATTGTGCCACAACTGTAAATTAAGTACAGTAATGTATTCTCATTCTGGCAACATAGGTTACACCTGCACTGAACAGTGCAATACTGTTAAATCAATCCACTGATCTATTGAAGATCAAAGTACAAATCTGTATTTTTTATTGATTTGGCAGCGTTGCTTATGGAGAAACAAATGCACTAGTTAAACCAGTACACTGTCATACTGCTCCAGTTACAAAAACATCCAGGACTTTCATAGAGCTACAAAGGTATCATACTTCATGATTTTCCCCCAAATGATGATATCCATGTTAAGTAAATAAGCAAAGATACTCCAGTTTGTATCCTTCATTCTGTTACACTGACATACTTACATCACCACTTAATAAATAGAAATGCAGCAGTTCATCCACATAATAGCAAATATTTTTGTACCCTAATCCACCACCGAAGTTCAGTTTGTACAAAACAGTCTTTTCTAGAGTGGAAAAAATACCTTCTTCTCATCCAGGTGCAAGCTAAGCTTTGAAACTTAAATGAATGTGCTTTTTATTCTTTTCATGGACAACAGAAGAGTTTCATGAACCGTCTGATCTATATGAAAATGCATAAATTTGGTCACATGTGGATGTTTTCACTGATCAGATTTAATGGACTATTTCAGTATCACTGACGTTGTGCTTTTACTCCTCTTGAATAATACCATTTCAAGAGTTATGGAGATCAAATTAACTCAAACGATGACCTCAAGAGTTCTAGAAACATAAGCATTCTCATTGTAATACAAGACCAACCTAAAGGAAGAAGAAAAATACAGTATTTTAGTTCAAGTATGGCAGTAAATCTAAACATCAATAGTCTTCTGCATCTCAATTATGGATCATAAACAGGGCCAATTACATTATTTTTAAAACTTCTGCCCACTGTTGGCCAGTGTAAATTAATGTACCATTACATCTAACGGAATTCTGGAATTCATTTTTCTCCCTTACCTTTTCAGATTCCATTCCTGGACATCTCCAGTTGTACAAGTAATACTGCAAATTTCCATCTCCAATCCCAAACTTGAGTTTTTCCAGGAATGTTTTGTTTTCCATTAAGTCTAGTGCATTGAACACATCAAATCCTTTCTGTTAACAGAAAAACATTTTTAAAATTTTACTTTTGAAATTTTCAAATGACACAAAAATGATACTTTACAGAGAGGCATACGGTATCCAAGAGACTTAGGCCAATTAAAAGGAAAAAATACAATGGAATAAATATTGCTTTTTAATTAGGTACACACACAAAGACATTTTCTCAATAAAAACTAAAGTATAATGCACAACTGTGCTTGAAGATTAGCTCCAAAAGGGTATGAATTTTAAAGCTATTTTCAAGGCCTAATGTCTAAAGAGTCCCTAAAGCATTTTTAATTATTTTGTCCTTACAGACATACATTTTTTACAGTCACATACAGTGTTTTGACACATATGACCTATTCTAGTTGAAGCTGCATAAATACAGTTACTGTGTTTTCCAGCAATTTAGCATTCTGTTAATGATAAACATATTTTTGTGATTTAGTCCTTTTCTGAAATGCCATTCTCTTTAGAATTCAAATCTTTCATGTGATTCTCCCTCCCTTACTTATGCACCCTCTACCAACTCCTCTCTTCATAAACATCCCAAATTCACCACAAAGAGACATTTTTTGTCTCAGAAGAGCCACATGGCTGAATCAGACTCAAGAGTTTTTTCTCCATCAACACATACTCAAATCCTTTCTCCTCACTGGGAACTCTTAACAAGCAACCTAAATCCCAGATCTGGTAAGCCATTGCAGCAATAATCATCATGTATGAAGAGCTGAATTTGCTAGGAGGTGTGGATATGAAATCCATTTATTTGCAATTAACTACAAGGGAGTGTGACCTAAGCTTCTGGAGTCTTAATAGCACAAAGGTGCAGCACCAGCAGGATATGATACACTTTTAAGACAAAAGGTACGAAACGATAATGCTCTATTTATTACTTAAGCACAAGAACATGCGGTAAGGAACATTCTTTAGTTGGTAAAAAAATTAGTTTTTTTTTCCTTTTAAATGTGCATCACATATTAGAGGAAAAGGGGTTTGAAGAAAAAGAGCGTTTAAGCTTTTCATCAGGACTATTAAAGAGAAAGTTACACAGCACAGACAGTGAGTTTAGTAAGGCTTCCCGCTACCTCACACAGAGATCATTTTGTGCGCGGATGATGCCATGCTAAGTTAAATGTGCTGTGAAAAACATGCAGAAATAAGACAAATGAGGTGATAATATCTGACATTTGGCATTGAAAGTAAATTTTGAAATATTCCAAGTAAGTAACAGTAACAGCAATCTCAGAAGGCAGGAAGGGAAGTGGGATAGAATAGAGACACACTCTAGATACAAGCACACTAAGCTGTGCAATTAAACACTCAAAATTCAAACAAAACTCTAGAGATGTAGTTTTAATTCAATATCTAAGTATCAGCAGATTAGTTTCAGATTAGTATCTTCTGAGAGGGATAAAAAGGTTTGTGTTTCAAGGTACTTTCTCCACAGCTCTGACAGACCACATAACCAGACTCAGAAGATAATTTCTTCCCTGTGTTCTAGATCTAGAAACTTTTGTGTCAGCTTCAACAATAAAATATGCAGGGTTTTAGAGGGCTTATCCTGATGCAAAATCTCACTCTCTCTCCATGGAGAATACATAGAACCTAAGTTAGTAACTCCAAATTTTGGGTTTTACTTTGAAAGTCAGGTGTTTTGTCCTGTAACTGCCAAACTAATTCTAAACTAATTTTATATAGTGTGATATGAAGATAAAAATAAACATTAGCTGACATGCAAACCCTAGAAGCAATTAGCTGAGCTGAATTTGTAGCTCCAAAACCGATGCTTTGGAGTTAAAGTACAGAAAGGAGACTGTGGCGGGCTGTTCCCAGACAAGAGCCAAACACCCACACAGCCTTTGGTTTACACCTCTCCCACAGGATGCAGAGAAAACGGAAGGCAAGACGTCTTGTGAATTGAAATAATGACAGTTTAATAGAGAAAGCAAAAGCTGAAGGCACAGGGGAAGCAGAAAGAAGAATTCATTCACTACTTCCCACTGCCAGACAGATGTCAAACTGCTTCCTGGGAAGCAAGATCTCAGCATGCATAATGATTGTTAGGGAACATAAATGCTATCACCGGAAGCATTCTCCCTTCCTCCTCCTTTCCTTCATTCTGCTCCTTTCTTCTTTCTGCTCCTTTATTGTGGAGGAGAACATCATATGGTTTGGAACACCTCTTTGGTCAGTTGGGGTCACCTGTCCTGGCTATTTCCCCACCCAGCTTCTTGTCCACCCTCAGCCTCCTCAGTACAGGGGAAAGAGAAAGCCTTGAGGCTGTACAAGCAGTGTTCAGTAACAACCAAAACACTGGTGTGTTATCAACTCTGCTTCAGTGACAAAGTGCAACACCATATGGGCTGCAAGGAACAAAGTTAACTCCATCCCAGCCAGAGTCAGTATGTTTGTAAACAAAAGGCTGTGAATAGGACTGCATTATCATCTCTCTTTTGTTGCCTTACCTCTCCTCATATAAAACTAAACTGCCAGATCTGCAACTGTAATTAGGCACCTAGTGATGCATTACAGGCCCAGCAGGTACTTAAGAAATCCACAGGTGTCTAAATCCCAGTATTGCAAGGGATATAGGATGATCCGCTCAAAAGGAAAGAGCTGCATGTCACACTGAGAGAGAAACGTATGCAGGGAAAGGCGCAAAGCCTTGGGGTCAGACCATGGAACTACCTCCTCACCCATCCCACACTCAGCCTAGAGAACGGCCAGATACACAGCCACACTTCTAACCCAGACTAACCTTTTTTCACCTTGACTTTTAAGAATAATTACCAGTATTTTTAGCCATGCCTGAAAATTATATTGGCTTCTCAAAGTCTGTCTCTGAACTTCCTTTTAAATCATTCTGGAGCCTGAATAATGATATTTCCCATAACTATCCAGGAGTTTTCCCTGACAAATAGTTACTGAACTACTTCTAGGTTAACAAGCCTCAGCAAGCAGTTCCCACCACAGATGGCAGCTCTGCTGCAGTGCTGCATGAACATGGCTGGGACAGACAGGCTGAAGATTGTGTGGCTGCTTTTCACGCTGAAGTCTGAACAGACACAGCCTTTGTAGACCATCACTGGCTTTGTCGAGAACCAACACAGAAACCCAGGTGCAGGCAGCTGTGTGCATGGCCTGCCAGGGCACTCCCCAGGAGGCTGTAACACCACCAGCAGTGCAGGAAGGAGGAGCAGGAAACATGCCTGTGCCCTGCAGCCTGCTGGGAATGGTGTCAGAGGGGTGCTATGGACCAGATGAAGCCTGTGCAGTGCTTTGAACCACCCAGGACAAAAAGGTCTTTGCAAATTCAGAGTGCTGGCATGTACCACTGGTGTTAGCACTGCACTTCCATGAAACCCTATTCTGTGAGGGATAGCTTTTCATTAGACAGTACTAAACTCTCAAAATTCTTTGGTTTGAGAACTTCATTTATAGTCTTTTCCCTTCCATTCAACCAAACATCCACCAATTTAATTACACACCTAAGGGCATACTTGAAAGCTACACCATGACATCATCTACAGAGCTTTACATGGAGCAATGATAACATGATAAAGCTCACATAAATTTCTACATATTTTAGGAATAAAATATAATTTTAAAAAGCAAAATGTATTTGATAGTGCTTATTAATTCATCTCCAAGGGAAATTATTTTAGTGATACTTTTCATTCTTCTGATACTTAGTGACGATGGTCATGAGTGTACATCTTGGGTGTATCCACAGCTCAAACTATTGCAAATACTTTATGCATTTGTCATTCCCCAGCATCACTCAAAGTAAAAGGAAAAACAAGTATACTGCTTAGTATTTTGATATATATATTGTATATGTCTCATCAACTGCACTCTGTGTAAATGCACTGGCATGGATAAATTATTCCAGTTCTCACCTTGCCACTGCTCCTAGGAATACTTTTGTGAATGAAGCAGAAAAAACTCAACCTACAACTTACCAATTTAGCTATAATGAGTGCATCATTCATTAAGTCCAACAGGGGAGTCTCTGTATGAATATTGTAAAAGGAATAGGCAGCTTTGAGGCTTTTATGAACAGGATGATGCATCACTGTTGAAGGTAATGTGTAGAAACTGAGGAAGTCTGTTAAAATACCATTTGAACCCTATAAAAAACCGAACCAAAACAAAAAAGTCCATTAGTAAGTAATCAGTTACTGGTTAGGCTAATGTGACAGTTCTACAGAAAGCAATAAATGCAGCAAGGTTTGTGTACTGTAAGTATTATGGTATAGCAGCTAGTCTTAGCTACGACTGGAGGAAACAAACATTTAGATTTTTCTAGTCTATTACACCACTAACATTTTGACAAACTATTGTCAAAGAGTAGTTTTCTATAGAGAAAGCTAACAAAGCACACTTCCACTGAAAGTATTTAAATTTTTTTTTCTGACTGAACTAGTTTTTAATAAAATATTCTTAAAATATTACAGGTATTTTAAAAATATGATGACATTCACACTGAATAATTTTCTCATCTTTCTAAAAACAGAGAAAAAAATATACTGTTCTGGTATTCAAAGCATATTAATAAAAACTCCCCAGAGTATCTCCAAGAAAAGAATATAAAGGAGACACAAAAATACTTCTTATTGCTTATTTGCTTCATTTTTTGAATGACTAGTAACCACTAATTAAGAGTTCAATGAAGGACCTCACATGTCTCCTTAAATTAATAGTACTTCTACAGTAAAATGTGAAACAGCTGAACATACCATATGCAAAAAAGCTTTTGTCTTAGAGCAGGTACAGATTCTGCAGTAGAGTAATACTAACTACAAGGAACACAAAAGTTATTTAGTCACTCACTAAATTCACTAAGGATGACAAAAATATTAACTCATAAAAATTTTTTTAAGGTCTTAGATCTGCACATTACAAAGATGACTTAAAAGTCTGACAGTAGCTTCTCCAGGTCACACTGGTCTTAAAAAGATTTTAAGCACTAGCAAACGTACACTTTGTATAGTAAAATCTAGTCCAAGAGACAGCATAAAACAAGTAAGTGAAGATTATGCTGTTTAGTTAATATGGCACTCTTAGTGTCACATTCATGCTAATCGTGGTGCTTGTGAACTCTCCTATAGGCTTCAACTCACAAAGCAAGCCAAAAACCAACTCAGGGAGCAGGGCAGAGGGCAGGGACAAGAGGGAGTGGAGAAAGAAGGTGGGACTATAAATTAGACCACAGACAATGAGCACTAAACCCACTACAAAATAAGCAGAAAGCTAAGTTTGGACAATAAAAACTGGTGTTTTTTATTTAGCTCTAGGTTTCCTAATTCAGCTGAGGCTCCTGCACAAATGCAGGTTACAGTTACGCTGACCTTCAAAACCTAGGGCTTTTCTATGAGGAGAAGGTTTAGGGATGTTAGTCCTGATCATTTTAAAATAACATTATCACTTTAAGCAAAGTAATACACTGTCTAAATAAATATGCTGTCTACAACTGATTTTGTATGGACTCAAAGGGAAGGGTGTATCTTTCCACTAGCTTTAGTGCATCTATTCCAAACATGTCCGGGAGATTGCCAATCCAAATGCTAATCTATTCCTGCACTCCTTATTTTGAGAGAAGTACTATGACCAATTCTTTGGAGGGTGGGGGTGGTAGATGTGTATATGTATGTGTATATATATATATATCTGCAAATTCATACACATATATACACATATTCTTTTACTGGAAAAAACATACTTTACTGAAGCAAACCATCAAAAAACATAGTTATTCCAGCAGGTGCCTCTAAAATTAAGTTTTTTTAAAACAGAATTTTGTAATGGTGTATGGCAGAAATGTGTACACCTGGGAGAATGACAGTCAATTCAAACCAAATCCTTATCTCAGTCATAGCATCACTTTTCCTTTTTTCTAGAAAATGAGGTTTGAAGACCACTGCTTAGTATCATGTCATACGTCTGTAACAAAGAGTCAAGAAATGCATCTTAAAATATGTAGGGTTCTTGTCAAGTTAGTGATTATTTTGGCATTCCAGAATTCTTCTTTAAGATATTCTAAGAGCACTGCAGTTTATCACAGCCAAACATTTTCTTATTAACAGAATGTAATACAAAGAACAAATCTTGTACTCATGGTATCAAATTCTACCTATAATACACATATTTCACACTGCCTGCATTTCAAAAACTTGACACTCTGAGTGCAGAGTGCTCTGACTACTGAGTGACACTCACTCACATTAATATATGTTTGTGCATATTTTACCTCTACCACGTAAGTGTCAATAATATGATCCCGAGGCAGGAACCAGTGGGCCACCTCTTCTTCATCCATCACAGGAGCAAGATTAAACTGTTTCAAGTAAGTATTGATTAATTCTTGTACTGCTTTAGTATCTTTTTGTTCCATTGGTCTCAAACCTGATGTCTTTGTGGCCTTAGTGTAAAAAAAGAAAAATAAATGTTAAGATGTTGAAAGGAAAACTGCACACACAGCAAAGGCTGAAAGTAGGTTGCAGAGTCACTCTACTTGCTCTAATGCATTCATTATTAGCCTACTTTATCCCAGCCACCTAATTCATTATGCTATTTTACAAATGGCTTTCAATCAGAATTCCCTCTCTTCTAATTATTGGGACAGTCTGGGGCACTTCAATCTTTTAATTTCATTATTGAAACAGCTTCATTTCTCCAGAGAAAGACATACCATCACCAACTGCCTACACTTTGTGCAGTTTGTATTTTTTTTTTTTTTAGGTCAATCTATTTCTTATCTTCTTCTGAACTACCTGGGGCCCAGACATGGAAACAAAACAAAGAAACTTACATAGCAGAAGTTATCTCAAGACAAGAACACATGCAATTCAAACTTATGGCAATTACAGTCAAACTATACATCAATGTCAACTGATTAAGTTTAATTATACATTATTTAACAAAAAACATCTACCTATTTTTAGCATTTGTGAACCTCCTTGCTAACAACTTTCTATGCAGGCACAACTGCTATTCTAGTAACAAGAAAGGTTCTCATAACTTACAGCTGCCTGAAACGAAAAACCTATTTTAACAAATATTTTATGACTTTAAACATCAGAAAAGGAAAGAATTACTTTCTAGTATTACGCAATTGTTGTTTAAACAAGCAAAAGTGATTTAAGTTTTCTTCCCATCTTTTGCCAGCCTTCCTGGATATTTCCTTTTGGGGAGGCTAATGCTTACTCTCTTCAGTGCTCATTTATCCTGCTTCATCTGTCTGAGCTACATACTTGGTCACGTACCACATTAATCATAGCAAAGTTGATTGCAAGAGCAGCCACGTAGAGACTTGATTACTGGAAGCCTGAAATTAGTGTAGCTGATTATGCTTTGCCCAAAAGGCATTATTCTGGGGGAGATGTTTATTCACACGCTCTGGGAGCCAGCAGCCAGATGAGAAATCAAGGCACATTTTGCCACAGCTCTGGCCTGTGTATTACATTTCATCCTTCCTGCTTTTCCAGGCAGCCTGGGACTAGGGTTTGACTCCACAACAGTACACCATCTGTATTTTTAAATGCCCTTATTCCAGAAGGGTGTACACTTGACATATAGGAAGGATGGAAAAAAAGCAGCTGGGGTGGAAGCTCTTTTTCCCCTGAGTAATGCTCAGAAACGCCACCAGAAAGTGACTATTTGCAATCCCAGAGGTGAGGAAAGTGTACAGAACTGTGCTAAAATTTGTTTCTCTGGGCACATAACCATGTGACTGTCCAGCATCAGGACCTCAGCTGGTCAGGAAAAGACAAGAGATAAACATACTTCTGTCCTGACTCTAAATAGTGACAAATTTTACTTCTTCCAGAAAACTCCTTGCTCAAGAGATTAAACACTTAGAAAAAAAAAACAACCCTTTTATTTTTTGTATCTATAGGTACCTGCACAGCCTTTAGGGAGGGTGGTATTTATTAATTACAGTATTTATTACACCTGAAAACCTTTTTAATTCAGGTTGTTTAAGTGATTATGAGTGATTAATTCTCTTAAAGGGAGATGAGCTCCTAGTGGCGATGATATTCCAAGGACATCAAGAAAGGAGGTTAAAATGCAAGAAACAGTGTTTGGTGCTGAGGGACAGGATAGCACGGACTGAATGGACAAATTCGTTTGACAACAGTGTTTATAACTGCCTCAAACTGATTAGAAAAAGACCCTCAACAGCACTTAATCCCTTTCTCAGAAAAAGAAAGGCCTCCAAATAAACCCAAAGCACAAGACCCAAAGAGAAATCATCAAAACAAAGACTAAATCTCTTAGTTTCCATTGAGAAGCTCCCAAATCCAACCTAAAAATCACAAAAATCCTGAAGTATGTGGACTCCTACATCCCTTAGTTTTGAAAGCTGATTTTGAAAGCACCTATTTTCTATTTGCACTTTTGTGTACAGTGTATGTTTGCCTTAGCTATATTTTATGGATGAGATAGTGATATATTACTTATTTTCCTAATTTACTTCTCTGTTGAAACTGCATTTTATGATAAAGGAAAATGACCAGGACACAACTGCTATTTCTAATGATTCTCTGTAGTTACACCTTTGGTACTACAGGTAAGATCCTTATTCTTTAATTACTTCCTCAGTCGTTTCCATAAGCAATGTTACTAGAGTCGTCACCAAAACCTACACTTGAAATTGTATATTACACTCTTCAGACTGTTAAAAATGCCTTCAAGATTTGATGGAAGCTATATTTAGCTGCCCAAGATTAAAACCTAATTAATTTGGTTATTAATTCTTAAGCTCTGCAAACTGCTGCCCTGCACGCAAGGGAGAAGCTGCATGTGCAGGCACAGGCGGCACGAGGCGGAGCAGGAAACGAGGCTCTCCGACAGCAGCAGGAGCACGGATTAAGGCATGGCATGTGTTTTATTCCAAAGGCTGCTCAGCCTGCTGCTCAAATATCTGAGCACTAAGAGAATCTGCAGCATCAAGTAAAATATAGCAACAGACACAATTCTCCAAAATCAGATAAATCATTATAAATACTATGAGTGAGGAAAAATATTGTTTTAAACCAGAAGAGAGGGTTTGTTTAAACAAAGAGAGGCTTACTGATAAGGTAGAGGTAAGGGATACTCTGCAATCCTTTCAAAAAAGGTAGCTTTTACAAGCAAATAAATTGTTTTCAGCCGTAAAGCTCAGACTAAATACTACAGGCTATTAATTGCAGCAATGAGATTTTTTTAGCAGTATGTAGCATTTACAGTGACTTGCCCTGTCATGGAAATGCACCCCAAGGCTTTTTGCAAGCTTAACTATTAGCTGAAAACATGAGGAAAAAAAATTATTAACATAGCTATGCCACAATACTTGCTTTTTACTAGCAAGTAAAGTTTACATGCAAACTAACAGTGCACAACATTCTGAAGTGGCTTTTACTGAGCCTGCTCAATGCAGAAGAAAAACACTCTCTGATAGTACAGAAAAAAAAGTGAATTAGAGTGGAATCAACAATATGATTGTATTCAGCCAAGTTGCTGATGGACTTCTCTGAGAATTTTATGACATGAACTGTTGATTTTCTGTTCCAGTAATCTCTTATCAGATTAAACATACCGAGAATAGTCTCATGCATCTTCAACTCAATCCCACATGTTTGTGAAGTCAAGCTTTCTGGGTTTATTTTCCTTTGTTTAAGGATTTTAGGTTAAAATTTGTATTTTCTCCATAGAGATCCAGATTTCCAGCAATAGTCTCTTCTGTTTAGTATAGCCCTTAAGGTCCTTTCCATCAACCAGAGATTATTTTTTTTATGTCCTGCATGCACTGCCTTTACATAGAAAAGCCTGTGCTGTCAGAGACAGATGGAAGGTTATTTTGGGCCTCACAATAACTGTGGGGATTCTCTAGAAGTCATTACTGCTTACATCAGGAAGTCTGTAAAGCTTCATTGTTCTTTGTAGAGTCATGTTTCTACTCAGATGTGAAAATTTCACCTCCACCAATTTTCTGGGATTTAGTGAACGATGCCAATACCTGGAAATACAACCAAATAATGAATTTAAGTAGTATTTTAAGTGTCAGTGTCACTTGCATCCATTGCTCTGCTTTCTTGCTTCCTTCTTTTCAACTCTCCAAATTTGTTTCTAAGCAAGCCTGTACTACGTCTATAAGAAGGCTGATTAACAAAAAAAAAATAAGGAAAAGCTATATCCAAGCAATAGGTTTTAAAACAAGTCTGCTATCACAGTATTCTCAACCTAAGCAAATGCTTTATGATACAGAATGAATAAGCACAGGGCAAAACATTTTAGCATTTGTCACAGCCCTGAAAAACTCACCATACATATATAGCAACATTTATTTTCTTGTGCAGACAGCACCCTCTGCTTATGTCTGAGAATTTTTTTTGAAGGAGCTCTCCCTTTCCTGGGAGGTCATTGTGCAACAGAACATCTCTGGTTATTCTAACACAGTATAGCTTTTTATTTCTTCCACCATCATTCCTTACAGAAACTTATAGGATCTTTGGTGTTGATAGGTACAAAACAATTTTAAACCAAAAGGTACTCTGTCCTCCAGAAGTCTAAACAGCTGGACTAAAAGTGCAGGAACTGAACTTTTCCAAGTAGAAATAAAATCCATTCCAAGCAAATGAAATTATATTCGACTGTAACTCTTCCCATGTGGTAGTGTTCCTGTATTTATCAAATGCCAATAAAGTCCTTCTTTCTCCAGGAAAGATGAAAGTATTTCAAAAAAGCAAATCATACAATTACCAGAAATGCTCTGCCATCTCTGGCAAGCAACCAGGTTAACAGGGAAGTGTCCCGGCAGGGACACAGGCCACTTGAAAAACACAGGTATACAATGTTGTCATTGCTAGCATGGCTGCCACCAGAAGGTCAACAGAAACATCTGTTAGTCTATCGAAAGTATGCTAAACAAACCACAAATTAAATTTTAGTCCGAGAAGATGTTTCATCCGAGGCACTGGGAGGGAAGGGGAAAAAACACCCCAACACAAAAAAAACCAAAACAACTCTGACAAACACTCAGGCCTTCAGATTACACAAGGCCACAACATTTAATAGCTTTGAATTTTATCCTGTTACTGTTTAGACAGTTACATTAAATTTTCTTCAAAATTACTGTTAAGGAACCAGTAATATTAAGAACATCACCTAGGTTACCTGCAAGTGGCCACAGGTTTGGGAAGTACCACTCCAGCAGTGTAAACAGCCTGAAAAATTCCTTCCAAATTTACTCTTCTGGTTATTTCCCGAATCAATACAGGTGCCACCCGTTTAGACCTCAGTTTCTTATGGACACACAGAAAATTGATTTCTACCATTTTCTTCACACTAAAAAGACATTAAGTAGTTAAAAAATTAAAGAGAGTTACACATGACATGTTTCCATTTTTATAATTACAGCTTTCTGTACTGTGACAGAAGAATCTGAAGTAAAATAAACTTGCCTGTGACAAAGTACATCTGCAATGAACACTAATCTATGCCTATGTGACTGCAGTGACAAACTGTGCGATATGCAAGCTATCTCTAAGAGGTTTGCAATACTTCTTTTACCAAAGCTAGCAAGACTTAACTGATTGATTTACTTTAAGATGCAGTATAGCGTCCAAGCAATGCTATGTGGAGTCACAGTGCTTTATGTTTGTCAGTGTATGAAGACTTGGCCAAGAAGCCCAGCTGATCAACCAGAAATGCTTTTCAGCAGGGTCAGAAAATTGTATGGCATTAGATGTATCATTTATCACTAAGAAAACTTTACTGGTGCTCTTCACCTTGTTCTCTCTTTTTAATTTTTTCATAGCACTGGATACCAGTTTTAAGGTTTGTTTTGTGGCATTATTCTTTAACAAATACAAAAGTATTGGTGCATTTTACCTGTCATAAATACGAATATTTGCAGGGATGGCACTTATGAATCCTACCAGTTTTTTGTTTGAAGACACTCTAACCCCGCAGTGCCACTGCGGTAACCAGCCCGGAGGACGCAATGCCCTAGAATTGATGACAGAAATAATTACAAATTACTGCCTAGAAGATGTAATAAAAACACCCTTCACTGCACTCCAGCCAGAACAGAATGTGGAACTTGCTACTCACCACAGAAGAAATTCAGGTGAATAATCAAACCTAAACATATTATCATCATCTTCTACGTAATTCTCATTTAATAGTGTGTATAACTCCTTCAGCTGAAAACATACACAAAAAAATCCAAACACTTATCCACATATCAATCAGAAAAAACTTGAATTATTTTAGATACATATAAAAATTGTTCCACTTACAACTTCAGCATTGCTAAGATCCAATGTGTCCCACATAAAACCTTGTGGCAAAGAGTATGGCTCTAGGCGAACATTGTCCTTATCTGGTTCAATTGCACCATGTGAAGTTATAACTTCATCTTTTGAGGGAGGAGGAGAAAAAAAAAAACCAAAAAATTATTACATTGCTAGCTTTCCTGATAGTTCTGTAAACTGCATTTATTTCACATCATGTATTTCCTCATAATTATGTGGATGGAACAATAAGCTTTTAAAAAATGCTGAAAAAGTTAGAATTATTAGTTGAGACTACTTCTCATTTTCATAGGTCACATTCAGACTAATGACTGTCTCATAAAAATATTCATAGATATGCACATAACCACTCCATCTCAACTGATACTCTGCATTTCGTAATAACACAAGAGACAACAACTTATCAGCACACGCACAGCTTTTAGCCAGCCATGAGATCCACAGCCTCATCATGACAACATGTACTCACAGCTAACAAGCTATGGCTCAGATCCTGTTTACCACTACCTTGAACAGACCTGAACTCAACAGGATTACTCAGAAGCAGTGACATTGCAAAGCCAGGGCATTTAAGAGATACTGGTGGCATGTGAAATGTGTTCCTAAAATCCTATTTGAAGGCATGCTTTCTTCTCCTTCCTTACTTTACAGCTCCAGTCCTCAGTATACACTAATAAACTGCAGCTGTTCCTCTTCTAAGGCGCAGCATCTACAAAATCACAGAATCATTTAGATTGGAAAGGACCTGTAAGATCAGTCAAATCACTAACCATACACTGCCAAGCCCACCATTAAACCACATTCCTAGGCATCATATCTTTTCAATACCTCCAGGGATGGTGACCCCACTACTTCCCTTGGGAGCCTCTCCCACTTCTCAACCATCCTTCAGTGAACAGACTTTTCCCTAACATCCCATCTAAATCTCCCCTGGCACAGCTCCCCTTGAGGTAGTTTCCCCTTGTCCTAGTGCTTGCTAGCTGTGAGAAGAGCCTGACCCACCCCTGGCCACAGCCTCGTTTCAGGCAGTTGTAGAGTGATAAGGTCTGCCCTGAATCCCCTCTTCTCCAAGTTAAACAAACCCAGCTCCCTCAGCCACTCCTCATCAGACTTGTGTGCAAGACCCTTTACCAGGTTTGTTGCCCTTCTCGATGTGGTGGTGTGTATTTTTATAAGATTTTACAATGTTTTGTTTTAAGAGTGAGGTGTTTAATGTTAGGAAGTTTCAGTTGGTATGTTCCTTGTACCCCCTGTTTCTTCCCCTCACAATGGTTTCTCCCAGGTTGTTTACCCCTAAATTTTCCCGCCATTTGACTGTCCCCCAAAGTGCCAATCTCCCTGTTCCTCCCCTCGTACCCTTAATGGTTCTGTCAATCCAAGCCCACCTCCCCTGTCTGTCATTGTAGCCACCCCCACTTGGTTCTCAAAAGTTCCCTGTTGCCCCTTCCCCAGCACCCCCCTGTGCTGCCCCTCACTGGATTATCCCAGTTGTGTTCTCCTCCCCTAATGTCTCCCCATTGGATGTGAGCTGTTTCCACCCCTCGTATCCTCTCCTCTTTATAATGCGCTGTCACCCTCATTCCTGTGCCTACTTGTCCCTCCTAGGTAATAAATTACCTTGGAATTCACAAAAGTGGCCCCTCTCTATTTCTATGCCTTGGTCCTTAGTTTCTGCTTGGGAGCTGTGATTCCCACACCACAGCCAGCCACAGGGAGCTGCCAACCCCTGTGGGCACTGCCACCCTAGAGGTCTCGGAAGGGATCTGGGAGCAGCCACTCCTGTCGTGCCCTCCGGCCATAGGGAGCGTGCTAGCCGGGAGACCTCCACACTGTGGCCGCAACCGGGCAGTAACACTCTGGACTCTGTCCAGCACCTCAATGTCTTTCTTGTAGCATTGTCTTTTGAGTCAGATTACACTGTACGGGGCTTTGGACCTCCTGATTTCCTCCCTGCATAGCCTCAGCATCTTTGCAGTCCCTTTGGTGGTGCATCTCTCCATCCATCCTTGGGCCTTCTCTATGATCTCAGGAGCTCCCAGTAAGCCTTGACCAAACCAGCTGGGCAGTGAAATGTCCCTTGCCCATTAACAGGAGCTCCTGCAAAGTAAAGATGGGAGTGACACTGACTGTATCAGGATTATAATTTGCCTGAAAAAGGTGGGGAACAAGGGATTATCAATTATTCCCTAATAATCAGCTACTCCCTGAGAGCATTGGAACACCTCTTACCTGAACTGTAGCCCAAGTGAAATGTTACCATTGTTACAGGATGGGATTTTTCATTTTGTTTTGGCTTTTTTTTTTTTTTTTTTTTCCCAAAAAGCAGCTACCAATGTGGGTTACCACCATGGTGGAAACTTACTGATAATTAAAGCCAATTATCTTGCAATCCTATGACGAGTGTCCTAAGTGAGACCCTTTACAGTGCCCTGGACCGCAGTGGGCTGCATCAGCTCCTCCCTCTGAAAGGGATGTCTTGCCAACCCTCAAGTCTATGATGCTCTGCAGACTTGCTGAGGACAAGGCCTACACTGACACCCTCCACTCCTCAAAGCTCAACCCTTCCGGCTGAGAAATGCAAGGGACTCAAAGTATGTCACTGGGCTCAAGGGGAATTTTTAACAGGCACCTTTGAACACGGTAGCATGTAAACAACTCTGTGCCTGTGTGCATGTGCTGAGTATAGCAGGAATGCTGTTATCTAGAATGTATAATTAAGCCACTCTTATAATTGTAGTAAATCCTATGTAGGTTGAAATCCCGATGAGAGCAATGGCTGCTGAATGCGAGACTTCTGCCAGAAGTTTAAAGAATATTTCATTTGCTTCTTCATCCTGGCTGGGAGGTCTAGAACTGACTCACACCATGGTATCTGCCCTGTTGGCCTTCCCCCTGATTCTTAACCATAAACACTCTACCATTTTGTCAGCCATCATCAAACTAGGCAGTCAAATGTTCCTTTGAGTATGAATTTTTTCACATGATGCACAATCCTGACTAATAGTTATGGCCTGCCATCCAGTTTGGAAGGTCGTAATTATTAGCATTTTTAAGCAAACTCTGAAAAGTACCAACCACCCAAATATTACTGCCACTAAATGGCTGGTTTGGCATAACTAAAGGACCTATTGCTAATAATTTTAACTCGAAGGCTAAATGATTCTTAAGTAAGTTTAATGCAAAGATTTTCCACAACAATTTCTTGAATCGACAGATTATTTTTTCCACTTAAACTCATAAAACATATCAGCTAGTGATGACTTCCCAATCTGTTCATACAGCAGATAAAGAAAAGCTTAAAAAAATCTGTGGGATTAAGAAGAAATTCATAGAGACTGTTGGACAAAACCTCACTGATCAAATTCAATTAAATCTATTTCTCCTGAACAACCCTAACAAATAATTTTCTTAGCCACTGTATGGGCCTTTTAAGACTAGCAAGTGACAGACGCTCCTCTCTATCTAAGTGTTTAAGATACATTTATTAGCCTAAACTGAACTCCTGGCACTACTGCAGACACCTGAACTAGCTCTGGAAAAGCTTGATTATGGCCAGAGCATTTTTTGATTTACACTTTAACTTATTTTGGCCAGGGTCTTTCTCCACTTAGGCTGGATTGCTGGTGACAATTACTACCATTACTTTATGCAGTTATTTGGATAGAGTTTGCACAGAGAAAAGCCATGGCAGGTCAGTTCAATTCAATCCAATCCAGAGGAAAATACTGTATCCCAGGGCCTCTGCTCTGGACTTCTCTATGCAAGAAAAGTCAGGAAGAAATGAGATTGCTGCAGATTAAGCTATAGCTGTGGATTAATGTGAAAAGCTGCCTGTGAGCAGAGTGCTCCTGTGCTTTAGACTCTACCTTATTTCTGCTTATTCCATACTAGTCTCCAGCGCAATGGAGAGAAACCTGTAGCACAGAGCAACACCAGCTACTGTGCTGAGAATGTTTTACTTATGCAGCCCCCAAGGTATGTTCACACTGAAAACCTGTAACTGCTTAATTTGAAGATAATGAAAGCAGAAAAAGAAGGTTCACAAAGCAAAGCAGAAAACTCGACAGTCAGCAACTACTTTCTCCGGAGAAGATTTACCAACTGTGTTATCAGGGATCAGATCAGTATAAAAAGTAACTTGTCAAATTCATTATAAATTTAAAGGCAAGGAGAGATTACCTTATCATCTCACTTGGAATCAAGAACAGAGAACAGAATCTGAGAAAGCATGACTTCAAGGTAGTGTATGTTGTGGAGGAGAACATGAACATAGAGCAGAAAAAGAGTCTGTGTATCAGACAAGTATCACTTAAAGCTGTATGAAAACAGTGCAACCTATGGCAGGAGAGTCATTATTTTTGTGATAGCAAATCCATTTATTGAAAAAAAAAATCAAGGAAATACAAATAAACAGAATACTACTAATAAAACATTGAAGTTTACTTTTTGTCACCACTTAAGAATTCTTACTTCTAAACTGAAAAAGACTTCTAGTTCTATTGTTCAGTATTTCAGACCTAAAATATACAAAAGAATGTATTCTAATAGCATTTCCTATTTTTACAGAGGACATCAGAATGAGACTTAATAACACTGTATCTGGCATATTATCTGTGGGAAAGACAACCACTTCCCTGGAAAACATCAATAATTCCACATAAACTACACAAAAGACTAAGGATCCCTACCACACACAGTCCAAGACTATACCCATTTTAGAGAACATGCCACAGAGCTAGCACATTATGACTTTAGTGATCATAAGACAGATCTTTCACACAGATCCAGTTAAACTTACTAAGTTTAGGTACAGGTTGTGTATCCCAAAACTGGTATTTACGTTTGGTAGCCTCATCAATATTCTTTGCTGGGCCTTGGCATGCGGAGAGCAGCTCCATTGCTCTCTGGATGTCTTGAAGCTTCTGCATTGGAATGGCTGGATTCTGCACAAATAGACAAACAGAACAGGAAGCTTTTTGAGTATATTTACTTTGTGAATAGCTGTACAAACATGTTAATTTCTTTTACTGTTACCTGTTCTTACATGTACTCTTCTCATCATGGTTAGTTTAGGTACAATGTTTGTAGACAGCAGGGTGGAAAAAGTTAGGTGGGCAACAGGCAAACAAAATAGTTGCCAGCAGTACTTGCACTTAACCAAGAAATATCAACATTTTTAACACAAATACAGCAGCATTAAGGCATGATACTGTATCACAATAAAAAAAAGCCCCTCATATTCCCTGTTCCCCTAGTAAAACACAGTAAAATAAAAAAAAAAAAAACAAAAAAGGGTCAATTTAGGTATTCAACAATAAAGGTACCATTGGTACACATGGAGCATTTTGATCACTCTGAGTACATGTAACAGGGATAAAAATTTTTCCTGCAAAGGACAGTACAGCGGAATAATTGTAACAGGCCTCTAAATCTAAAGGGATTTTACCCTCTCTCTTTTTAAATCTGTTTTGTTTTGTTATCTTCCTGGTGGCAAGTCCTGTTTTGAGGCATACCAACAGCATGCTTGTGCTCAGGTTTCCCTAGACTGCAGTGCAATAATACATCTGAAAGAATAGTCTTAAATGTACTGGAAAATTTTAAGCAATTCTGCACAGAGCTTTCAAGCCACATTGTTTGTTTTTTTTGGTTTTTTTTTTTTACTAAATAGCAAAGGACTACTATTTCCATATTTCACTTTCTTTCTAGGATTCATACATTGACAAATCACCATAAAATAAACATAATAATGAAGGTAGAGCTTAATTTGGGTGATCAGCCTCTGGTATCCTCAATCATGAGAAGAACAAAACTTTGTGTCTGGAGCTCAAGCAGCCTATCAGTTACTATTTATAATAAACACTTTTATTATCTAAGTTAATGAAACAAAATGCCTAATGTTTAAGTATTGCAAATTTCATCTGTAAGTGTGCCTTAAACACTTGTCAACCGAGTAACTGTGAATGAACATGTTTATATACTTTAAAACATTGTTCCAGCCTAAAAAACCTACCTTATTTCTAGATCAGGATAACAGAGACATAAATTACTAATGCCACTAGATAAATTCTGAAATCTCATCAGTACATCATGAAATCATACATAAATGCTGACACACTGTAATTTATTCTCTGTATTTACTGAAAGTCTATAATATGCCTTCTATATTAAAAAATCAGAAAATTAAAAAAAAAAAAAAGTTCCTAAGAAAGATCTTACTAACATAATAGTAAGTAAGAAATTAATGTTCAGGTACTAAACAGACCATGGCTAGGGACATCAGGAGTAAATCCCTTTCATTTCAAAACACTCAGAGATCGGCCTAAGAAGTTTACTTTCAATACTTTTTGTTTTCTTTCAACAGAAAGCAAGCAAAACCTACACAGAACTTCACATGAATTTGAAAAACAAAAACCAGCTCTTTTGTTTAATTTCAGTTTAGGGCAAATATCTCTTCATAGCATAAGATAGTCCTGTTGTGCAATGGGGCTGAGGTATAATATGATGGTTTTGCCTCAGTTTTGTTGATGACCTCAGGCCTTTGGTGACCCTGTGCACTGCAGCTGTCTGAGAGAAACTTCGGAGACTGCTGAGCAAATGAATCATGTAAGGATGCTAAGAGAGCTGGCTGATGCTAGTGCAACTAACATCTATTAAGTTTAAAATAGCAATTGGTGGAAGTTTCCTGTAAATGGATAAAGGGAAATATCACACCTGCTTTCAAGAATGCAAGAGAGAGGACTCAGGAGTCAATACTGTTTAATGATCCGGACTTGACAAAGAGTACTTTCTCTGCAAGTGCACAGATGATACCTAGAAGAAGAATTTCTAGAATTGTTGATATGCTGAACCACAGAGCAGCTATTCAAAGCTACTTTGACAAGCTGGAAAAAGAAACTTAATCAAGTTTGACAAAGGCAAAGTCCTCCATCTGGGATAGAAAAATCCCATGCAAAGGCAAAGGCCAACACGGACTGGCTAGGAAGCAGCTTGCAGAAAACAACCTGGAGGTCCAGGTGGGCAGAGGGCTGGACATGAGCCAGCACATTGCTGGCCAGCAAAAGACATCTGCATACTAGGCTGTACCAGAAAGACTAGCCAGGAAATCTTCCCTGGCACCCCTGAGGTCACACCTTACAGTCTGGGGTTCTCCATTACAAGGAGAACATTGACAGAGTGTTGCAAGTTCTCTGCAGGGCACCGAGATAAATGGGAGCTGAAGCACATCACACACAAGGAAAAGAGGATGAGAGACCTCGGTTTGTTCAGCCTTAAAAAGAGAAGGTTGAGGGAGTAGGAGAAATCTTATTACTGCCTAATGGGAGGGTATAAAGAAAGCTGAGCCAAATCTTTTCAGACAAACACAGTGATAGGACAAGAAACAAAGGAGACAAGTTGCAAACCAGCAAAATCCATTTAGATATAAGGAATTACTTTTTTTTAAACCAAAAACCATAGTCAAACAGTGGAATAAGTTACCCACAAAGATCATGGAGTCTCTGTCCTTGTAGACCAAGCAACCTGATCTAGCTGGAACTGCTCTGAGCAGCAGGTTGGTCAAAGAACCTTCAGATGTCCCTTCCCATCTATTATTCTGTGACTAGGTTGTGTACCGCACCAGTGAGTAGAATAATGACTGATGAGATTGCAGATATATGGTAAGCTTTCTTTGTGTCAGTGTGGACAACTTACATCACTGGAACCTGTAATAGGGACAGATGGAAGTCTTGTGAGATGGGCAGCGTCCTCAAGGTCACTGTAAGCATACAATGCTAACAACCATTTACTGCTATGACTGCACTCACACCAGCGTTCAAAAGGTCTACTATCACTGCCATCACATAGAAGGAAGGCAGAAGCCAAGGAGACTCACTGTTCTGCTTTACTTATCTCCAGACTGACAGATCTGTTTACAAACTCACGTGACCTCAAAATGCTTTTTCAAAATCCTTTACAGTGAGTTCAGGAGCCCCACTGAGTTCTACCTGATGATCTTGCATATCTTCTCTTAGAGGTAAGGTGTACAACGTCATTCTCCTCTAAAATAGACTCTTTTCAACCAAGAGCAAGCAAACACTAAAAGCCTGTTTTCTGTAATAAATTTCATACAGCACAAGAATACAAAATCTAAGTATTACTTGGGCAGCAGACAAAATAATTATACTTTTCCACACTGATCCAGATCAGCAGTCTAAGATGCTTTCAAAAAATCAGTAACAGAATAGTTGTCTAAGACAGACCTGCAACACAGCAGAGAAGGCAAAATAACACCCCAGGCAATGTTGATGCATTTGTGCCTAGAGAAAAGTGAAAGCCGTAAGAGTAAAGTGGTTTAGCTGCCTAGGGCTTGAAAGAAAGACTTATATAAGAACTTTTTCTATATGCCAATAGAACAGAAAATTTTGTAAGATTGCTAACGAACTGACAAAACTTGTGTCAGTAAAATAATCATGAACAGTGCCACTCTAAGTACACAACTTGGAACAAGGACAGGCTTCCACATCTGCACATCACATCACATCAGAGAAATGGTGTGCAATACTGCAAGGTGCAGGACTAAAATTCTGCACACAAAAGGAAAAAAAAACATGAAACAGCTTTCTTTTAATGCAATTAGAGGCAACACATGGAACAATAACCTTGGTCAGCAGAAAATCAAGGAACTCACAGGATAGCAATTAACTATAGCAATCAACTATGACTTTATGTTAACACGAAAATTTATCTCACTCCAGTTTCAAGAATGTGAAGTTACTTGTGCATCATTTGCCAACAATCTTCCTGTATTAGCAGTTCATGACATGTTTTACAGAAAGGCAGTATCAAAACATGTAGCAAAGTACTTAAGACCTCTCTACATATCATTAAGTGTCCCCTGTGCCAAATGTGCCCATGCAATTTGCCCAAAGCAATCAGGGTAACACAGAAAAGATCTGAAGGGACAACACAAAAATCTATCAATATCAAAATGAGCCAGAACACAATCTTTTTCCCCTAAAATTAGTTGGCAACCCCAATGTACTTGACAAAACTTACAGAACAAAGATTCCTGTTGGTACAATGGTGTAAAATTCTCCACAATAAAGCAAATATAAAGCAAATATAAACTACCTCAATACACTTAACAGTCCATAAAATAAATATAAAGCAAATAGAACTACCTCAATATGCTCAACAGTCCATAAACTTTCTCAGTTTTACAAACTTTAGTTCTTGGACTCAGATTTCTCATGGGATAAAAGCTGTATGCTAAAAAGGCACCACATCATGTTATTCATCGCTCATTCAGAACATGATAGACGAAGGCACACACAGACAATGCTATTTTATCAGAAAATCCACAAGGACTGTACATTCCCTCAAGTAATTTTGCACATTCTTAGTTATAGTGGAGGCCTTTCTAACAGCAAAATTTTTCTTCAGCCTTTATCTCCATGTTTGAGATTACTTCATTTTATGTACAAATACATGCTGCTTGCTTGCCCTAAAGAGACTCTGGCTAGCACAGCAGGCCCACCTTCCCTCCTGCTGCTAAAAGAGCTTCATGCTGCACGAGTGACTAAAACTGCACTAGGCCAAGCTAGATGGTGGCTAAAAATGACAGGCAATTCATCAAATACAAGATCTATTTAAAAGCATTACCATCGCAGATGTGATGAGATTCTATGCAATGAGGCTGTCACTAGCTCAAGCTCTAACTGCTCAAAGAGAAAGACAAAACTCCTCCTCTGCCTTTCTCACAGCACACCACTATGGTGGTGACAGCAGCTCTGAAAACACCAGGTCTTGGCTTGCTTCTCTCTGTTCAGGACAGGAACCATTTGCTTGATTTTCACACACTAAGGCAGAACTACCAACTCACTTTTATAACAAGTGACATGCAAATTAAAATTAAATTAGAAAGCACGCACAAATTAAAACAGAACCAGGCTCTCACTTTTGAAGGTTGTTGAATTTTAATCTCCTGGGAGTCAGATGCAGAATCTGATTTGGTGCCTCCAGAATTTGGTTTCTCCTTTTTTCTCTTCTGCTTCTTTTTCTTCTTCTTCGCTCCCAAATCCCCTCCAGGACTTCTGCCAGAGATTCAGAGAATGTGCAATAAGAAAAATCAGTACCACTGAGCCTCAAATTTAAAAAAAGTTAAATATGGAAAATCCAGCATTTTGATATGAAAAATCCAATAGTGGTTTGAATGTAAAGAAAAGGCAGCAGAAAGAAAGCAAGGAAGGGGGGAACTGAGAGCATTGATGTAAAACTTCCTGCAATCACTGTCTCATTTGTTTTATGCTCTGAAACCAGCACAACCAGGCATTTTGACATATTCATGTCAAATTGTGATACTACATAGAAACCAGTACTCTTCTCCAGACTATTACCCAGCACAAAAACAAAACAACCTAATTCAACAGTTTGAAGGAACAGAAGAAAGTATGAGAACTGAGGAAAGTAACCTCCTTGGAAATTTAGTAACTATTAGTGCCCCAACACTTTTTCTCCTTCATGCTCAACTGTAAGACACATCTGAATTTGAGAAGAATCCAGATAAAACATTCTGTTTTCAGGAAATTTTATTCCTAACTTAGGCTGCAATGAAAATCTTGCTGAAATCCCAGTAAGAGACAACATAAAACTAACCAAATATTTGTGCTTTAAAACAATAAGCACAATGGGGTCAGCTTTAATTAAAATGTCCCAGTAACAAAGAAAAAATTGCACTTGAGGATTCTGATATATTTTAACTATTGATAACATGAGTTATTCTTACAGGAGATTTTTATTTAACAAGTAATCAAGATATAGAATCAAGATTAGATCAGAATTTGTGAAGTGTGGGATGTGTTGGCAACTCTCAGACAGAATGAAAATGTGGAGGCAATGAGTCAACACTAAATTGTCTTCAAGAGGCTAATCTCTCAGCAAAACCATATGCATATAATGGAACTGAAGACAGACTGGGGGGCTTTGATATTTTTCACTGGAACAGAAAAATGTCAATGCAAAAAACAATTGTTTCTTTTAATCCTGCAGGGGGAAAAACCCCAGGTATCATACTGACAAACAAAAAGAAAGAAAACTCAGAAGAACATAACTAAAGTTATTGTGATCAATGTATTTGCAAGGACATATTATTTGCTGTAACATGCTCACTTTCAAGATTATGATGACCAGTCTTAGCATCTATGCCTTGTCTGAGCTGATGTTGTCAAGAAGACACCCTCCCTCTATAGTTGGGAGGCCCAAAGCCTGCAATTAACCAAACAATGCAACTAAGCAAAGACTGATTTTTGTGACATCATTACTGTACTTTAGAATTGTCTGTAGTGAAAGATCAATCTCAAGAAGTCCATAACTTTCAAGGTTACACTGGGTTATGCTCCCAGACAGAAAGCCTGGTAAATGCCGTAGCCTCTTGAACAGGACCAAGTTGCTACTCAATGGACAACAGTAGAGCAGACCAAACACACTGGACAGGTAAGAGACAGTTTGAAGCATTTACTAGAAGGCTGCAGAAACAGAAGATGGACTTGTGTAAGTGATGCAGGGAGAAAATCTTTTGTTGCAGAATAAGCATACTGCCAGACCACCTACACAATCCACAATGAATCACAATTTCATTGAATCACAGCACTTAGGTTGGAAAACACCTTTAAGATCATTGAGCCCAGCATTAACCCAAGTCCATTACTAAACTATATCCCTCAGTGCCACATCTACACATGTCTGCAAATCCCCCAAGGACAGTGCCTCAGCCACTTCTCCAGGAAGCCTTCATCAATACTCAACAACCCCTTTGGTGAAGAGATTTTTCATCACATGCAATCTAAATCTCCCCCAATGCAAGTTGAAGCCATTTTCTCTTGTACTGTAATTTGTTACCTGGGAGAAGAGGCCAACCCCTGCTTGGCTAAAACCTCCTTTCAGGTAGTTGTAGAGAGTAATAAGATCCTCCCTGAACCTCCTTTTCCCCAGGTTAAACAACCCCACTTCCCTCAGCCACTCCTCACAGGACTTATTCTTCAGCCCCTTCACCAGCTTTGCTGCCCTTCTCTGAACATGCTCCAGCTCTAGTTTTGAGGCCAGTGAAGGGCTCAACACTGATTCAAGGTGTGGTTTCACCAGGCCAAGTACAAGGGTGCATGATCACTGTCCTGGTCCTGCTGGCCCACTTGATACCATTGGCTTCCTTGGCCACCTAGGCAGCACAGTATCGACTCATTTAAAATAGTAAAATTTAAATCTATCTGAAGGCCTGTATACCAATTTTATACAGAATTTAAACGCAAAACAGACCCAAAAGACTGGCAAGTGGTTATAAATACAAAACAGCAAAACCTCACACATGTGTACAAGACCTAGGACTTCACTACCTTCACTGGCAAAACTGAGATAAAAATACTAGGAGAGTGATTTCACCTTTGCTGAGATTCATTTAAGGAAGTATTTTTTTACTTTCTGCAACTGTCCACCAACTTGTCTTTCCCTGTAACACCTCACATATAGCAAACAAAAGATGCCTGTGCCCGAGCTGGCTCCCAAGGATTTGTGTGCTGAACACCAGGCTATTCAGAGTTTCAGCAAACACTGTTCTTGAACAGACACCCTCAGCAGGCACCGAGCCCCGAACTGCGCCAGTGCAGCTCACTGTCTTCTTGTGTTTCAGGAGGATCTGGCATCACATACACCACAGGGGAATTTTGCTCACTAGGATTACCTGAGGGCCAATGTTTTATTTAGTTTGGTGAAATAATGAACAATTGAACTAAAAAAAAAAAAAGCTTGGCAGCTGTGGAGAAAAATCAGCTTTGCCAAGCTCTTCTAATGTTATCCCCAGTCAAACCGTACTTTTGCCAGGACAATCATTGTTTGTTCTTTGACCAAGTCAGAATCTTTTTCATATAGAAATGTATATTCTTCAGCTGGGAAAGAAGGAATACAGAAGTAAAGTGCCACATATAGTAAAATATATGTGGCGTTTTATACTGCACTACTAGATTTTAATTTTTTTTTAATGTTCCAAAATCCCAGTCCTTGGTTTATGACCTTTGGGTTTAAATTTTTCACACTGTCTGTTGCAAAATAAATTTTGATATCGTTGTCTGACAGGTTATCCAGGGATCATTCCAAGCAGTTATTTATGCACAATCTCCTGCTTGGGTCAGTTTATTTTTCACTGTTACAGTCCACACAATTTAAAAAGAGGATTTAAATACAGTTCTACTCATCCTACTCATCCTGCCTATTTAGGCACGCCTGCAGCCCAGATATTTGGCAGCTGGCAGCACACAGAAACTTCTATGTACTCAGTAAACAGGTTTGTCCAACACAAGTTACAATCAGAGATACCAAGCAAATGAGGGCAGAAGCAAAACCAAAACATCTCCTGAGATTTGTTGTCCTTCTCATGCTCTGCCTTGGAAAGAACTGAACGACTCTAAAACTGGGAGTGAGAACTTGGTTGCTCAACTTGTAGTAATTATGCTAGACTTGACAGCACAAAGGATATGTAAAGGTAACAAGATTGAAACCAAAGGCTCCTATTAAAAGCTTTTCTCTGACATTCTTGTATGCTGACTAGTATCTGAATTCTCCTCTGTCAGGTCAGATACATGATGACACATTGAATCGTATTTCACACTTAGAAGCTGGGAGGAAAAGAGTTTCCCATTTTTATGAAAGTTGACTTTAAGTGTGAAATCTCTTTTTCCAAACTACCCTGCACCTGCAAAGTGACACAACTTTGAACTCAGGTCCTATGTGGAAAGCAGAAAAACAATACAGATCCCAGGGTGTTGCCATGTCAAGCTGGCAGGTCAGGAAACATGACTTTTCACGCATCAGATCAACACATCTGCCCCAGTCCAGCCTGCCACACAGACCACAACAGATTATACAAAGAAAACCATTCAATGTTAGACTTCTGGAAGATTTTGACTACGTCAGTCTAGTGGAGACGCACTTATACCAGGAGAACTTCAATGATAGGAGGGCAAGTCTATACACTGAGGTTCAGCTATAAGTACAGGCACAGTCTAAGGTATTTTTAACTGCCCCCACAATGACAATTTTGTCAGTCTGATGAATAAGAAAAAGGTGAGCCCAGTATAAAAGTGACACGCAAATCAAAATTCAGTTGAGCCAGAAGAAGGGTCAAAAGACCTTATTTTCCCCCAAAATGACTTAACCTTGCCCCAGAAACAGGCTGTGGCTAGGACTCTGAGATAGTCACTTAGACCTACAGTTTTATGATTCTGTCTGCAAGTCACAAATGCAAGCCCATGATCCCACCCACATACCTTTCCACTTATGTACACACATCTGGTGTTTTGCATAGATGTGGGAAAAAAATACTTTTGCTTCTCCCTGTATGTGGTGGTATTTTGGTTGGATTTGTTTTTTTTAAACTGAAAAATGGGAATACTTAGTGCATTTGGGGAGAAGTGTGGCAAGGGTGGAGAAACTTTATGAGGCTCAGAGCAAATCCATGAAAAGCCAAGATGGAAAAATCCAGAGGAGCATGACAATTAACCTGTTCAGGTGGTCAAACTGTTTTGGTTCCCTTGGTTTGAGATTATCTTTCTCACTGACTAATTGTCACTATATTTTAATTTCCTTTTTGAACACTAAATTCTACTTTAGCAGAAAAAGCCTTTTGTAATATCAACATCTGTTTTATGTTATGTGGATTGTTATATTAAGTTAGCAATTTCTCAAATTTAAAACCAAACATGTACTTCAGATGTTTATTTTTAAACTGCAAAGGCCTGTGTGAGGTTGTCTTCACAGTACTTCTCTCTCTGTGAGTAAGTGAGGTTGCAAAGCTGCATTTCTGAATATGTTATAGAGATCTTCTGATCACAAAAATCAGGTCTCAGGTATATGGGCAAGACTTCAAAACATTTTAAAGCAGTATTATTTATACTAGGGCTGTCATTGGTTCATAAAGAAAATGGAGGTTTAGGTGCAAAGGGCTTTCTCTTTGCTGTGAAAAACTACCACCGCTTCAAGACAATATAGAAAGGTCTTGACTAGAAGGGTCTATGCCCTTCAAATTCCACTTGCTAACAAACTGTCATTACAAAGAATCTCTCTGCATGAAGATTGCATTTGTATAAATTTCAATACTTGAGAATGAAAGGTGTTTAGCATGAAAACCTAGCAGCAGTACCTAAAAACCGAACCCAAGAGTATTCCTCAGATCTGTGTGTTTCCTCTGCCTCACCCTTCAAGTCTGTAGTCTGTACCCCGAGATGTAAAACTCACCTGATAAAACGAAGCACTGCTTCCACTGCATTAAAAATATTTGCTTCTGTTTCAGAAGTACTATTCATTACAAAGTTGGCCTTTTTAAACAATAATCATAGGGGTATACTACTAAAACATTCAAAGCAAATAATTTGTGAGGTCTGGGGGAGTTGTTTAAAGGTCACACCTTTTTCTCATCTGTTGACTAAATGTTTTATGCCCAAGGCCTTTTTGGCAATGAGCATAAGGAGCTATTTAGAATGTGGGAGACCTTATAAGGCTGGACTTAGCAGGGTGGATCCAGGTGCAACAAATGTATTTTTTTCTACATCCACACTAACAAAGATATTTTCTAAAGCACACTTTATTACAACACAGAACAAATACAGCATAATGCGTCTAGCAGGAGCAAACTACAGAACAGGAAAATAGCAATGAGTCACACAACATACATAATCCTGCCTCTAAAAAACAGGAGCAGAATCAGAGGACAAAGACATTTTCACAGTTAAGAGCTATAAAATGGTTATTTTCTGCTGCACTCTTTCAGTGCTCAAGCACAAAAAACCCTTCAAATTAGAAACCAACCAAAAAAGTCATATATATCTAAAAATCTCATTTTCTTGTGGGCAACATTCTAAGGACCTATTTTCAAATGTCAAGAAGCATCTTGAAAATAACTTAATTTACATGGCGATCCAATAGAGACTGACACACAATATTCTGCCTCCTTCTAAAAAAGTGCAGGTTAAAATAGAATATGATTAAATATCGATCAGCACTAATAGAGACCATGCAGAATTTAGCGAGTCAGTTGACAAAGTCATAGTCTCAAGTAGTTGGACTGCTCAATAATTGCTTAAGTATATAAAACCTAATCTAAAAGCTGGAAGCAAACTTTAAAGTTACTTCAAGAATTAATATACAATGACAGAGAGAAAACAGGGAATAATTAAGTAGGCTCCTATTAATATGGATTAATATCTCAGATCAAGAGTAGATCTTGCATGCTCTGCTGTCAGATTTTTCCTTTCATTTGCTGGAATTTGTTTTGAGTATTTTAGCCTGCAGACAAAGAGTAGCAAACAAGATTTTTCAAAGATTACAAAATAAAGTAATTCAAGAGTCAATATAAGACTTCATACAGCAGACACTAATAGTTAAGAGGCTTTTTCTACTGGAATAATCTACTACTAATTCAACTACACTTACTAAAAAATACTCATTAAAATACATCTGGGATATTCAAGAGAAACAAGTTTTGGGTGGGAGACCATACAGGCTACAGCTGGTGTCCCTTAGAGAGCAGTGAGACCCGTGTTGGAGTAGAGCAGCAAGCTGTGACTCAGAACTCACTGAAGTGCAATTCTTTGTTTCCTGTTTGCTCCTTACGCACGGCACTCGCTGTCACAGCAGCCCAAGCACAGCCACACACAGAGCTCTGCTGCAGAGGGCAGCTACAGCCCGGGCACCCACACAGACAGACAGGAGAGGAAACTTCAGTAGGAATACAATCCACATGAATTCCGGACAGGCATTACCTGAATCATTACCTGGCTAGCAAACAATCCCAACTAGGATGCCAGGTCAGTTCCTATGAAGCACAATAAATAACAACTCTCTGCTCTTAGGACTTTACTTTCACATATTTGGGAATCACCAACTGTGACATATTTATTGAAGCAAATGTTACAAAAGCCCCACGATAACAAAATACCAATTTGTCCCTTTTATTATCCCAGATTTATATTACTGTAATTATTTCTAACAAAATTATTTTAGTGTGCATGCCATTAGCTCAATGACAGAGCAGCAAGCATCAAAGTTTTCCCCCTTCCTGCCTTCTAGACAAGTCAGCCCTCCAAAGTCCCTTAGATTTCTCTTGCCACGTTTAAGATTGTTGTCAACCAAATCTTAGAAGACAACAGAGTACATCCTCAAACACCAATCACCTATAGAAAAGCTCTCAAGCAGATCAATCACAAATTCACGAGGAAGATATTTGTGTAGCACTGTATAGATTAACCTAGTTCTATTTTAGGTTACTCCAGTCACTCCTGGCTGCGACAACAAAGCGCCTTCTCTGCAATCACGTTTCTAACCCGTCAAAAAAGAAAAAAAATTTAAATGAAGCCGACTTTTGAAACACATTCCTCCCGCTCCCCTGCCCCAAAAGGCTGCAGAGCAAGGCAGAACCTTGGCACCTCGTGCCCGGCCGCAGCCACACTGCAGCCAGCCCAACACCGGCAGGGTGGCAGGGGCCGCAGCTCGGCTGGCTGCCTCTCCCATCAGCTCCCCAGGCAACTGGAAACACCGCCTGATCCTCAGCGTGGGAAGATCTGAGACGCAAGATTAGTGGAGAAGGAACTACAACCAGACAACAGCGTCTGCCCCGGCTACTGCCGTGTTAAAATACACGCTCTGCCCTCCACAGCGTGTGGATCGGGAGGTAACACCTCTCGGAGGACAATGGGTGAGAAGAAGCGTCTGCAGGACAGGCAGGCACAGACGATGCCTGGAGCGGACCCCGGCCCCAGGGAGCGGACGGTGGGTGTGGGTGTGGATGTGGATGTGGATGAGCGCGGGACGGCCGCGGGAGCCGCTCAGCCGGAACCACCGGGGGGACACGGGGGCATCTCCTACAGGGGACTTCCTGACGGCCAAAAATACGCAGAAACGCCCCAAGCCCTAAAAGCGCCAACAACAAGGCAGGATTTACCGTCGCTTACACGGCACGATTTCAAGGCCGGTGTCCGGCGGGTAAGTGCCAGCGCCGCCGCCCCCTCACCTCGGGCCGGGCCCGGGCTCCCCTCTCCCCTTAGCGGCAGGAGGGCGCGGGGCTCGGGCCGGGCGGCGGGGCCGCTCCCCGCCCGCACGCTGCGGGAGGCGGCCCGAGCTGGGGCCGCTCGGCCGCCCGGCGCAGGCGCCGCGGAGGAGCCGGGCCGGGCCAGGCCGGGGCGCACAGGCCGCCCGCAGCGGGCAGGAGCGCCCAGCACACCCGCCCCGCCGAGGGACCGCGCCGGGCAGCGGGGGAGCCCGGCCCGGGCACCTCCAGCCCGGCCTCTGCCGCGGGGGAGGACACGGAGCTGCCTCCCCGAGTCGTGCACGCTCCCCAAGCGCGCCCCTACCCCTTGGCGTGCTCGGTCTCCTCCTCATTGTCGCCGTCTATGCCGCAGGTGTCCTGGTCATCCAGCTCCAGGCTCTGCTGGCTGGCCGCGGACTCGCTGTCCTCCGCCATCACGGGGGAAGGAGGGAGGGAAGGGGCGGGGGAGCCTGTGAAAGAACCGGGGCGCACGGGCAGACGCGGTCCGGAGCAGCTCCCTCTAGCTGCGGTCCTTCCCGCGCCAAACCGGGGAACGAGGAGGCGGCGGCCGCCGGGGCTGCCCGGCCGCTCCGCCACCCGCGGGCCGGGGCGGGGCCGTGCGGGAGCTCCCCGCGTCCCGGCCCGGCCCTGCCCAGCCCGGTGCACTCGGGCGGTGCCGCGCCCGGGCCCGGCCCCGCACAGGCCCCCTCATGCCGACATCCACGCTGCTTCGCCGGGCCGCCACGGCCTTGGGATCCCGTCCCTGGGCGCTGTCCCCACGGCCGCGGGAAACCCGAGCGCAGCCCCGGCGTGTCCGTCCCGCGGAGCCCCTCGGGCCGCGCCTGCAGCCGCCGGGCCTCGGCAGCATCCTCCCGCGTTCTGTCGGCTTGCCCTGTTTCCGTCTCACACCGTGAACACTCGGACACCCAGGTTAATTTCATGGGTCTCCTTAGAGCTTTAGTAGTGACTCTAGGTGTGCTGCTAGGTGTAGACAAAATACCCAGTTGCTTATGGCAACAAATTGGAAGAAAGGAAGAGAGAAAAGCAAATAAATTACTTCAGATGTAGCTCTGCCTTGCTGCTCCCACTAATGTCAGTCACCAAAATCAGAGCAGAATCTAGGGGACCCATCACACCACCATAAATCTCAGCTTTCAGGATCTTTCCCCATTCTACCTTCCAGGTTCTGTCTCTCCTCAGTTTTCCGTAACAGAGGCAGTCAAGGTTCTATCATGGCTGCACACAATTAACCTGTGTCTACAATTCAGAGATGCTTTGAGCCACCTCAGATGCATGTATGAGCATAGGTCCAGATGCACAAATGGGCTTTGCCATCCCTGTGTTTAACTTTTTCCTAGCTGATTCCTAGAGGAAACTCTGGGACTCAAACCAAAACCCTATGAACACTCAAATATTTTGGGCATTTTAGTGGCCAACATGAGTTCATGAGAACCCCACGTTAATGAGGGAGGAGCCATCTCTGCTTGGCAGTAAGAAATACTGGGGATTTGGAATCCTTAATTCCCAGTACAGGGACTGGATGAAACCATCAGGTGAGACTGTGCAGTATGTGGGCAGGGTTGCCCTTCTCTTTGCTCTTCTGCAACTGAATAAAGCCAGCCAGGCACAGATATTGTTTCCCTCCAGCAGCCAGGCATAACCCAGACTTGTTTACCTGCCTAGCAACACATTAATTACATCCCAGTGAGCTGGTGATATAGAATCCAGCATTCAGGCTATCAGCATCATCTGATTAGTCTATGTGTTTTGATTATTAAATACTGCAGAAGAAAAGTATCTAAAATTTTCATGAGGCATAGGACTGCTCCTACCTTTACACACCACATTGAAATATTCATGGCATTTATAATTTTAAATGGATTTGGATTGCAAGTAACAACTTGGTGTAAACATTTTTAATCTTGTAAATTGGAAGCAAAATGGGTCCAATTTGAAAATTAGCTTGTATTTCAGTGTTTCCCTTATTTTTCTAATTAAGATTTAAAAAGTTATCGAGCAAACAAATATATTTAGTCCAATCAAGTGGCTACTACTGTCACATTGGGTTTTTTCTAATTGGCTGCTCTTCATGGTAAAAACTTAAATACTGTATTCCTCAATTTTGAATGAGAGGCAAGTGTAAAAGAATAAGATTGAAAATAAATAGAAAAAATGCGCCAAAACACTTTGCACAGTTGTTACAGTTAACAACAGCAGAAGTAGAAATGGTTAGGGAAGAAAATGAGCTTGTGATGCCACATGTTGCACACCTGTATCCATGTGAGATCACACCTCTGATCTTTACCACTCTACCTCTTTGTAGCCCCCCCTGCATACCATGCCTGGGGAGCTGCAGACTTGCCTGTTCTCACAGCCTGCTTGCTGATGGCCTGGATTGGCGGCAGGGTCAAACTGGGGGCAAGCGTTCTCAAAGCATCCTATTCTTTCTGCTGCACTCTCCTTCAGCTTTTTAAATTCCATTTTCAAATGCAGCTCATAACTTATCTCTTCTGTTTTACAGCTTACCTTTGCACAGAACCATCTGCTTCTCCATGCTGGTGTCTGCATGGCAAGGGCTGTGGGCTGTACAGCACTGGAGAGGGTTAGGCATTTACATGCATAGTGAAAACATATCAAAGCATTAAAAAAATGTGTATGATAAATACAAATCTTTGTGCTTAAAGCTATGGGTGATATGGATAGACAGACTATTATTGCTAGTAGAGATTTCAGTTCTTCAAACCATCTGTTTTTGATGATTGTTGGAAGCAAGATACAAGACTTACATCAAATACAGGTTCAAACTGGTTCCAGCACTGCTCAGTTCCTCAGATCCTGGGGTCTCTAGCCCCAAAAAGTAAAAAAAAAAAAAAAAAACCAAAAAAAAAAAAACCAAACCAAAAAAAACCCCAAAAAAACCCAAAAAAACAAACAAACAAAAAAAACCCCAAAAAACAACTTATTAATAGGAGCCAACAATTAAATAATTATTACAAATATATAAGTATTTTGCCTTTTTATGTATATTTTTATTCTGGGACCCTTCTCAAACTATGTATGTGAATGAGAATTAGTGGTGACAGATTTTTGGATAAAGACAGTGTTGACACAGGTACTGCAGGAGCTCTGACTGATACTGAGCAATTACTTCTGCCCATCCAATCTCCAGATCAGTCCAATTTACTCCCATCAGCTCTGCAATCAGTTTTCTCACTAGCCTTTTACACTTCCCCCTAGCAATGTGCCCGCTGTTTCCTTCTCTTTGCAGTGAGGCTGCAGGTACAGCCAAGATACTTGGATTTCTCTCATTTTGAATGGAGCAATAGATACATTAATTATTCTTTACCTCTTGACCATTTCAGTAGTTTTTCCAAAATGAAAGTTTTTAGAGTTTTCTTTTTGTCCTTATGTTTCAGATAGTTCTTTACCCACAAAAAAGAACTCTTCCTGTGACAGATGTGCCTTCTGGGTGGTAAGAAACAGATTAACGGTAAGATTTAGGATGCACATCTATGGCATGGAGAATTACACGCAATTAAGAAGTGTCTATAGACATAGTGTCTTCCCTATGAAGACCATAGAAAATCAGACTCTATTATATAAACTCTTCAATTTCTATGCAGAGTTTCTTCTGACTTTACGGTAAGATTTTACCCTTCATAATTTTACAACTTTGTGCAAAAGAAAAGACTCTGTCAAGTGTGCAACAACTTGACAGAGCAACTTACATAAACTATAGATACTAGACAAGCTTTAATTACAAAATTAATACATCAGGTCTAGGCTAGAAGGCAAGTGTGAATAAATCTCTTGGAAGTTGGAGGTATAGCAGAAACTCAGCATCAAGCATGATTTTGACCTTGCAATGTCAGACCACAAGGACAATTAAGTTAATTAATACAAGCCTTTATGCTGGTTCTTCCAGTCAGTCTGGACGAGCAACCCTCACTTCACCATTGCTTGGTGTTGAAATGCTGAAACTGGTATTTAAGCCAGCTTTTATATTAAGTGCACTTACATACACACATACATACACATATAAATGTGTATCCATGCACGTGTGCCCACAAAGACACTTGTCTAAGCACACTTTCAAGGATTTCAAGGAATGAATGGCCAATCCAGCTGTCAAGACAAATACACTTCTCACCAGGGGGAACTTGGCTATTATGTTTTGCTTTTTTCATTTTTATTTTGTTATTTCATGCAGGATTGCACGGCAATTGCAAGGTGTTAAATATAAGTTAGAGCAAATAACATAGATACAAAGAAGGCTTGCCCTCATCAACACCAAAAAGTAGCTTCACTGAAAAGTCTAATCTTAAGGTGTGACATTCTATGTCCCACTGATGTGTGGCCTCACAGCACAGCACAAAACTGAAAGCAGAATCAGGGACCTGGGTTTATAGAAGGGGCATTCCTTGAAGAAAGAGGAGACAGAAGCCAAGGCCCATAGCTTCTCTCATCTCCAAGCTTTTTAAACTTCCTACAACCACTAAATCAACATAACCCCTTAAAAAACAGTGCTTGTAACAGGACCTACCTTAAATAAGTTCTTTCTGTATAGATGCCCAACCTCTCTTGCAGCAGGACCAGCCATTCCTTTGAAAGTGAGATTTATAATCTCACAGCATTATTTTAAGCACCATTTCATCCCTTTTTAATATAAAACTGTCATAAGCATTCCTCTGTTTGGTTTATTGAGGAGTCTGTCTTTCTAGTCATGTGAACACAAAGTTCTCTACAGAATTACAAAAATAACATGTAAACAAGTATTTAATTTGTACCTCCTGTTGTCATCACATTTTCCTTCCCCGTGCCTCTAAGTTTCTAAGGCAGAATAGCTATTTATGATCAAAGAAACTAACTGGCACTGTTCATTCCTAGAAGAAAAATGCATCAATAAAACAAGAAATACTTCAGTTAAGCGATAATAGACCAGGTGCTACAGTTTGGAAAGTAATTACCTGTGGATACCAGAAGATTACGGCTGAAAAGAACTAGATACCTTTTCTGTTATTACCAACAAAGAGAAGACACTACCTGGCCTCAATTTAACAGCTGGAATTACATGAGTAAATGTAATAAAAAATACTCCTCTATTCTGAAAATTGCACTTAACAGCTGCCTATTTGTTCAACTGAAGCTCAAATTCCCATTGTTTTACAGCATGGAAATGAAAATAGCACATATGATGAAAATATAATGTACGTATATAACTATCATGGCATATGATATAGCATAATATTATATATTATAAATCATGTGTGAGTGTGTGTATATATATATACACACACACATAATAATAGTAATGTTAGCATTATGAAGCATTAGTGTTGAACCTACCAGTTTTTCTGTCTGTTAACAGAGGAACAGGAAAAGAATAACTGAGTTGCTCCCATTTTCCTCAACTTTGGAAACAGTAGTCAATATTTTTAAAATTTTATTTTATTCTAAACCCAAGGTGGTATTCACAAGGCAGAATACAGAGCAATCAGAGATGATGCATTTTGATTTGAATGGAGATGTCATAAGCTGAATGTTCCCCCAGCAAAGAGGCTGGGCAAGGTCTCTTTCTGCACTTGGACTGAC